AGTTTCTTGAACAATTTATACGACATAACATTGATACTAGCACCAAAATCCGCCAAGGACCTCTCTACATGAAATTTATCTATAGAGCAAGGGATAGTAAAACTACGTGGGTCCTTCTGCTTCGGCGGAAGCTTGTTCTGTAGAATGGCCGAGCACTCCTCGATGAGCTCCACAATGGCCAGCTCGCTCAGCTTCTGCTTCTTTGGGAGAAGATCTTTCAGGAAATTCGCATACTTAGGCATTTGGGATAGTGCCTCCAGGAAAGGTACTTGGACATTCAGCTTCCTAAGCATGGACATGAAGTTCCCGAACTCTGACTCCAGCTTGTCTTTGTGCAACCAAGTAGGGAAGGGGAGTTGAGGGATATACTCCTTCACTACTGGTTGTGGTTTAGGCGCAGGCACCTCAACCTCCTTCTCTGCTTCTTCTTCAGCCGTGGGGAGATGCCGAGGCAGGGGCCTCTCTCTCTTGTGCCCGAAAAGGTGGATCAACAGTCATCTTGCCACTCTTGGTTGTGATGACATTGCAGTGTTCATTCGGGTTCTGCGGATGAAGGATGGTCTGACCGAGTAGAGTACCAGGAGCCCTTTGTGCCACTGCTTGAGCCACACTCCCCAGCTGGGTTTGGATATCCTGTTAGACAGCCTGTGTGTTCCTCTGGCCAGCTTCAAGAGCCAGGAATTTACCCGAGGCCTTTTTAATGAACTGCTTGATAGTGTTGAATTTCTGAGCACTAGAACTGGCGAGAGAGCCCACCAAGTCCCACAGTTCAGCCATCGGATCATTTTGCACTGGGGTGGCAGGGGCTACACTTGGCTGCTGGAAAGGTCGCGGATGTGATTGAGCAGCCTGCCCCTGCATGGGCTGGTAGAGAGACTGCTGCTGCTGCTGGAATTACCCCTGTCTGGGCTGGTACGGGGGCCTCTGGAAGCCAGGTGGTCCCTGGGGGACTGGTGGTCTGGAATTTGCCCCACCCAAGGAGAAGTTGGGATGCTGGCGCCACCCCTTGTTGTAAGTGTTACTGTAGGGGTCATTTCGCCTAACATTATTGATGAAGTTCACCTGCTCCTGAGGTGTGGTCGATTCCTTCATCGCCTGGCAGTCTTCCACCATGTGATGGGTGCTCTCGCACCACTGGCAGAGCATCGCCTGCTGCTGTCCGGTCCCTGGAATCATTCCAGAGCGATTGATGGCTGATACCAGCTTCGACACCATCTGCACCAAATCAGATGACTGGGTGGCTACAGAATGCACACCCCGCCCTGGTGCGCGTCTCGATCTCCTTGCAGTTCCCCAATCATACCCGTTCTCTGCCATCTCCTCAAAGAGTTGATTCAGTTGTGGCGGTGTTTTGGTCAGCATGTTCCCGCCACAGACCGAATCAATCAGCTGCTTATCTTCTGGGAAGAGGGCATGATAGAAGGTTCCCACCTTGAAAACATCATTGAAACCATGATTGGGACACCTCAGGAAGAGACTGTTGTATCTCTCCCATGCGTCCTAGATGGTCTCATCTTCATCCTGGATAAAGTGGGTGATCTGCTTCTGCAAGTCCGCCGTCTTGGACGGAGGATGGTAGTGGGTGAGGAACTTGTCCGCCATGTTGGCGAACGTGGTGATAGATCCTGGAGGTCGAGTGTCTAGCCACTCCTTGGCCTGCCCCCCCTGGGTGAATGGGAAGTACCTCAGCTAGATGGCATCTGCTGGGACCCGATTGATCTTGATTCCATCGATGAGCTCGTGGAATCGCCTGAGATGTGATTGGGGGCACTCCCCCTCTTTGCCACGGAACACCACTGAACCACGCAACATGGTGATTACTGAGGTGCTCACCTCAAAATTTTTGGCTGGGACATGAGGGTGTTGAATGGGTGACCTCATGTCTGCAGCCCTGGCGGTCCAGTAATATCCCATGGTCTGCTCCTCGGGAAGGACCACATCATGGTCCTGTGGATCCCCCATCTCTTCTTCTTCTTCTTCTTCTTCTTCTTCTTCTTCTTCTTCTTCTTCTTCTTCTTCTTCTTCTTCTTCTTCTTCTTCTTCTTCTTCTTCTTCGATCTACAGCTGTGCTAGCTCTTCTTCCGCAGCCAGTCGCGCCTTTAGAGCCCGCTTGAAGTTCCTACAGGTTCGTTCAAGCTCCTGGTCTAATGGTAGTAGATCTCCCGACTAGCTACGTGATAGCGTCGTATTTGCACATGTTTTCACTCCTGTTTCCTGACCATTTTAGCTCGAATTGATTGTTCCTTGGCTTATTTTACGCGAGGTTGTGTTGTTTTGTCGTATTTCAGGTCCTAGCAAGTAAAGAGGTGCATAGGCGCAAGTTTCGGGTCATTTGGAGGTCCGCTGGCGATTCACAGAGCAAATTACGGGCAGCCCCTTCCAAATTACGGGCGTAATTGGTCCAGGCATGCCCGTAAAAGCAATGCCGAGCCTAATTTCCCCAGAATTCCTCTCGGCAGTGGAATTACGGGCAAGTGTCCCACAAATTACGACCGTAATTAAGTAACTACTGGCGGTAATTGGGAAATTACGGGCGTAATTCCACCCCCATCAGAGTAAAGTGAAACACGCGTTTTGGGCGATTTACGGGCAGACCGTGATTACGACCGTAATTCTGCCCGTATTTCGCCCAGAATCGGGTTTTTAGGCAGATTTGAGCCAAAGGAGAAGGGGATTCGAGTTTTAGAGAGATAGAGCGATTCCTAGAGAGAGAAAGCGACGAACAAGAGTTCCCAAGTGCCCTAGCTAGATCTTCATCACCATTGGAGTCCGGCTTGAGCTTGGAGAAGTGCCGATTGACAACCAGAAGCAGAAACTCATCCTTCACAGTATGATTTCCGCGTCTGAATCTGCTTTTGCTTCTCTTTCCATGGAGTAGTTTTCCCATTCATCTGGGTATGGAGAACCCTAGATTTGTATGTTAGGTATGATTGTATGAACCCAAGTACCGATTTCATGAGTTGATTATATTCGATTGAGGCTTGAATGATTGAATGACTTGAATCCTGATCAAATTCCTGTTGTTTCTGCTTTAACCTAGAAAGAGAATATCTGCCTAGGTTGATAGAGCACCCTTAATTGAAGGTAGTGAATTGGCGACTTTAGTCGAGGAGCCAATTCACTATTCTGTACCGAATTTACTTCGGTAGTGGAGGTTTTGTTCGTTAGGGCCTCAATCTGTTTACTCCGGTGGAGGTTAGTCGCCTGCTAGAGACTCAGATTGAGAGGGTCTGGAGACCTTTAGTCGAGACTTCAGACTGTTTAAGAACCTTCCGCAGTATGACTATCATAGAAACTGAACTTGGTAATTGCAATCCGGCTTAACTGCAATCTAGGGGGAACCATATCCGGGTGACCTCTTTCGACTTGAAAACAACCGTTTAAATTGCTTTGTGTTTTTGTTAATTTGGATTTGCACTAAAGTTTCACTGCTAGATAATAAGAACTCACCGAGTAGTCATCAAATCTAGGACCCGGGTTGACATTAAAACCCAAACCCGCTATACTACGCTTTAGGAAGTGGTTGCACTTGGCCAATTTATAGAGTGACAATAGGAGTGAGTCAAGTTTTTGGCGCCGTTGCCGGGGACGGCTAGGTTGTTGAAGAAAAGTGATCTCTGTTTCTTTAGCATTTTCTTTTTCGCATTGATTGTTTGTTCTTTCCCACTTGTTCCTTCACGGGTTTGCTTGCTTGAGTGTGTGCAGGTAGTGCATGACCCGTAGCCAGTCGGGAGGTTTACTGCCGTTGAATCCAGAGATTGAACGCACCTGTCGCCAACTCAGGAGACAACAACGAGCTAGACTGGCTACGGAAGAGCGCATAGACGGCCATTTGAGCAGGGAGTCCGAGGATGAGTACGAGATGGAAGGAGATTAAAATCCACACCAGGGGAATCCTCACCAGGCTCCCCATACCCCAGGCAGATGGGGTTCATCATCCACCACCTCCGCCGGGTCCCACCTTGGAGTACTACTACACTCCCCGGGTTGCTGACATCCGCCCTGTCATCCTCTATCCGCCCATTCCAGCGAACAATTTCGAGATCAAGCCATGCTGGATTCAACTCATTACATCCTCTGTCCAGTTTCATGGCTTGAAGGATGAGGAGGCAAGGGTACACCTGTCCCGTTTCCTGCAGCTGACGAACGGGTTCAAGCTGAACCGTGTCCCTGATGATGCAATCCGCCTTCACCTCTTCCCCCATTCTTGGTGGGGAATGCTAAGAGGTGGTTGGAGACCCAACCCCCATTGTCCATCACCTCTTGGGACGATCTGGCTGACAAATTCGTGCACAGGTACTATGCGACAACGAAGACTACAGAGATCCAGTGGGAGATCACTCACTTCCACCAAGAGCCAGATGAGTCACTTCGTGATGCATGGGAGCGGTACATGGGATTTTTCTGGCAGTGTCCCCATCATGGCTTTAGTGATGCATTCACAGTGGGGAACTTCTACAGTGCTCTCTCTCTGGAAAGCCAGAGGGTGATTGAGTCTCTATGCCCAGGAGGGGACATTCTTACCAAGACTCCACCCGAAATGAACCAGATGATCAGTACATTGGCGGCCAGAGATCATTCCTGGGGGCAGAGCAGTAGAGGCAGACATTCCCGGGACCGTGGTGTGCACGCCATGGAGACCAGATCCGGGCTCGAGTAGCAAGTGGCAGAGTTAGTGCAGACATTGAAGCAGCCCAACAGTCTTATTTCGGGCCGAGGTTTGGCTACACCTCTAGTAGCTCAATGTCAGTGGTGTGTAAGCTCGAATCATCTGGTGGAGGATTGCCAGGCTATGCGGGAGTCCTCTACACCCCAGGAGCAGTTGGCCTTCATCGCCAATGCGCGGCGCCTCGATCCATACAGTAACACATACAATGAGGGGTGGCGCCAGCATCCCAACTTAGCTTGGAGTAGTAACACCACTAAACCACCTGGTTTCCCAGCACCAGTTGGTGGTTTTCAGCAAAGGCAGCCCTTCCAGGCTCGACAGGGGCCAGCCCCACAGCAGCAGCCTTACCAGCCTAGGCAGGGGCCACCATTCCAGCAGCCCCAGCGTTAGTTTGCCGAGCTAGCAGCAGCTCCGGCTCCAGATAATCAAATGACGGAGCTGAAAAACATTCTAGCATCATTCATGACTACCACTCAGGCAACTGTCATGAGGCTGGACCAGAGTATAGCCTCACTGGAGGCAGGCCAGAGGAACCAAGGTGCCATTTTGCAAGATCTACAGCACCAGATGGATAGCATGGCTCGCCAAATTAATACCCGGGCCCTGGGAACTCTACCTGCCACTACCATCCCCAATCCACGGGAGCCGCACCAGCAGCTGGATGCCATTTTTACCAGGAGCGGTAAGACCATATCTGCTGATCCTGTCCCGGCCAGGCAGGAGGAACCACTACCTGCTTCAGCACTTCCAGCCGACGATGCAGAAGTGCGGGTGGAGAAGGAAGCCCCTGCTCCCAAGCCACAACTAGTGGTTAAGGAGCATGTACCCCAGCTTCCCTTCCCCACTCGCCTACACAAAGACAAGCTGGAGACTGAGTTTGCCAAGTTTATGGCAATGGAGAACCCTAGATTTGTATGTTAGGTCTGATTGTATGAACCCAAGTACAGATTTCATGAGTTGATTATATTCGATTGAGGCTTGAATGATTGAATGACTTGAATCCTGATCAAATTCCTGTTGTTTCTACTTTAACCTAGAAAGAGAATATCTTCCTAGGTTGATAGAGCACCCTTAATTGAAGGTAGTGAATTGGCGACTTTAGTCGAGGAGCCAATTCACTATTCTGTACCGAATTTACTTCGGTAGTGGAGGTTTTGTTCGTTAGGGCCTCAATCTGTTTACTCCAGTGGAGGTTAGTCGCCCACTAGAGACTCAGATTGAGAGGGTCTGGAGACCTTTAGTCGAGACTTCAGACTGTTTAAGAACCTTCCGCAGTATGACTATCATAGAACTGAACTTGGTAATTGCAATCCGGCTTAACTGCAGTCTAGGGGGAACCATATGCGGGTGACCTCTCTTGACTTGAAAACAACCGTTTAACTTGCTTTTTGTTTTTGTTAATTTGGATTTGCACTAAAGTTTCACTGCTAGATAACAAGAACTTACCGAGTAGTCATCAAATCTAGGACCCGTGTTGACATTAAAACCCAAACCCGCTATACTACAAAGTAGGAAGTGGTTGCACTTGGCCAATTTCTAGAGTGACAGTAGGAGTGAGTCACTACGGGTCAAGCACTACCTAACGATGGCCACACAGGTGGAAGAGATAAAATGCAATAAAGAAAAAGCTAGAGTAACAAATTTTCACGTTTCCCCAATAACCTAGAGGGTCCCCGGCAACGGCGCCAAAAACTTGACTCGCTACGTCACAACACCTAACGATGGCCAAGTGTAACCAATGAAAGGGACTGCAGTATAGTGGCACAAGTAATAAATATAGAATCCACGGGTCTCTAGTGTTACTATTACTCAGCTTCAGTTCATTATCTAGCAAACTAGATTAAGGATTGATTTACTAAACTACTCTACTAACTACTATACTAATTACAAGTTGGGAACTCACTTAGGTATGATTCCCCCTAGCTCCTCAATTAGGTCCAAGTTGAAATTACCTTTGGTTGATCTACTGTTGATTAAACTGAGGAAGATCCTAAATTAGCTTGGAATCTCTTAAGCTGACCAAGCCCTCTTAGACAGAATACCCGACAGTTGACTAGCCTTCACCGGGATAGACTGCTAAGGCGATTCACACAGATCTCCACTACTGGAATAAATTCCAGTACAAAGTAGTGAATTGATTGACTCTCTCACAACCAATTCACCACTATCAATCAAGGAAGCTCTCTTAACCTAATCAGATTCTATCTATCATAGGTTAAAGCATAAATCAAGAGAATTTGATCAACATTCAATTGAATCAATAAATCATGTCTCAATCGATTATAATCAAACAATATAGCATCCAAAACTTCATACAAGAAAGATCCTAACACATGGAACTAGGGTTCCTCAAAACCTAAGTGAAGGGAAGTTACTCAGAGAAGAGAGAGACTGCAGAAATTTGATATTGATCTTCAATCTCCATCTCCAAGCTTGATTCCCGAGCTCCAATGGCGAAGAAATCCTCCAAAATAGCTCCAAGAATGTTCCCAAGTCGCTCTCTCTCTAGGGTTCGTCCCTTGGGTGTTTGGGAACCAAAACCCAGTTCTCCCTCGTCCGAACTCCGAATCAGTCGCCGTTTGATCCCAGATGCTTGTAGTCTGGTCCTCTTTATTTTCATGAAAAAATTCCATGATTATTTGTCCATAATATGATGTAGAAGTCCATTATTCCTCAGGTCATGCTCGTGTTTCTTCTCCCGAATTGCCAAATGATCTCCGATTGACTTGAAACTTGCGCCTATGCTTCAATTCACATGCTAGGACCTGAAATATGAGAAAGGAACACAACCTAGCGTAAAATAGTCCAAGAAAGCAGAAACTCAAGCCAAAATGATCAAGAAACGAGGGTGCAAACATGTGCAAATCCGATGTTATCAGAAACCCTATCAATTTTCTCGATGTGACCCCAAAAGTGCACTTTTCGGGGTTTAATCGTAATTGATATTTACGTAATCTCTTGAAAAAATCTTTCATAGGATTTCTACATGATCTTCTCTTGGTCGAGACTTGGAAATCATGTCATCCACATAGACTTCTATTTCTTTATGCATCATGTCATGAAACAACGTGACCATTGCCCTTTGGTAAGTAGCTCCTGCGTTTTTCAGTCTGAAAGCATTACAGTGTAAAAAAATCTTCCCCATAATTTGATGAAAGTCGTCTTTTCCATGTCTTTTGGGCACATTTTGATTTGTTTATACCCAGAAAAACCATCCATAAAGGAGAATGTATGATGACCAGCCATATTGTCGATAAGAACATCGATATGAGGTAATGGGAAATCGTCTTTTGGGCTCGCACGATTTAGGTCTTATAATCTACGCACACTTGAATCTTTCCATTCTTTTTAGGGATTGAGACAATATTTGAGACCCATTCAGGATATTTGGCTACTCGTAAGAAGCCGACATTGTATTATTTTTGAACTTCTTCCTTGACCTTTAACAACCATTCCGCTTTCATTCTTCTCAATTTCTGCTTGATGGGTCTGCTATCTTGTTTCAAAGGCAAGTGATGCATCACTATTTTCTCATCTAAACCGGGCATGTCTTTGTAAGACCAAGCGAACATGTCTTGATATTCCTTTAGCAGGTCTACAAGCCTTTCTTGCACGTCCACACTCAAACTTTCCCCAAGTTTTACTTCCTTCTGTTCCTATGTTTACTACCCTGATTGTCTCACCATGTGGTTGTAGTGCTGGCTCTTCTCGCTCAAGCACCCAATCCCAGTCTGAAGATTTCTCTTCCTCCTCATTTGATTCCATTTGATTAACAAGTAAGTCAAAGTTGATAGTCAAATTAAAATCATGAATATCTCGAGTATCCTCCCACTGCTCACATGTCATTGTGTTTGGTGTTTGCATGTCTTCGAACTTCCATTTGCATAGCTCTTCATCTTGACGCATTAGGCGAACAAACTCGAATGATTCGGTGTCCTTCCTGCCGGTAATGTTGATCGAAATATCATTAAAAGTAGTTAAGATCATATAGTCCTCTAGATCTGGATTTTCCTTGACGACACCGACTGTTTTACTATTGATGGTTCCTCTGCTTATGAAGGTTTGACTTATGTGGGGGTATCATGATCCTCCCGCATTCCAGGTTTTTCCCTTTTAAGAGAGCCAACATCTTGTTTTGTTTCTCCTCTTAGACTGTCTCCAATCCTGGATGCCAAATTTGGAGAAGTGGGGTTTTTCCCCTTTTTTGATCTCCAACCCAACAAAAAGTGGGGATGCAAATTTGGAGAATGGGAGTTAGGGTGGATAGATAGCTGGAGAAATAGAAGGGAAGGCAAAAATGCATCCTACAAGTGGTGGTTTTGATTGGCTGGTTTTGACTTGGGAAGGTAAATTTAGAAGGTATAGGGTTGGAGAAAATATTGTGTTTTGAGAGGCAAAGATGGATGTTTGAGAATTTGGGAAGCTAAATTTAGCTTTTGGGTTGAAGTTAGTCTTAGAATCTCTTCATATCCTCTCTACTTGACGAGTACCCCAGACCGCAACAGTTTTTATTTTCCTTGATGTTCATTGGAAGTCTGATTAGAGTGTTCCACATTGACTTGTCAATTCCCTTGATAATTTGTTTAGAAGCCATGATGGAGGCTATGGATGGTCTTGGATCTTGTGCCTTACTCTCTTTGTTGACGTATGCGACGTCTTCAATTTCTAGCGATTGAAATGCACTTTCAAGAGTTTCCTCTATAGCTTCTATATATGGTGCATCCGGTGTTTTCATTATCATTATATCTTCTTCCCCGTAGACTCCCACCAACTTATTGCCAATGATGAATTTAACTTTCTGGTGGAGTGACGATGGCACTGCTCTTGTTGAGTGTATCCATGGCCGACCAAGTAGGAGGTTGTATGTGGGAGTAATATCCATCACCTGGAATGAGATGTTGAAAATGCTTGGTCCTATCTGGATTGAAAGCTCGATTTCGCCGATCACCTTGCGTTTAGTACCATCAAATGCCCGAACCACTATAAAACTCGGCTTGATGTATGATTCATCCACCAGGAGTTTATGGAGGGTTGAATTGGGTATTACATTTAGAGCTGAACCGTTATCGATAGCACACGAGCTATCTTGTGGCCCTTTCATTTTAGCGATATGTGCAGAGCCTTGGTGCGACATGCCCATTGGTGGGAATTTCATCTTCGTCAAACGAGATCTTTCCACTAGTCAGGACAGCTCTGACGATATTGTCTACTTTTTCTAATGACACATTATGGCATACATGAGCTTGATTTAGCACTTTCATTAGAGCTTGACGATGAGGTTCAGAAGTGAGGATCATGGATAGAAGAGAAATTCGCGCATGCATGTGATTCAGCTGCTCTACTTCCTTAAACTCACTTTGCTTAGTCAGTTTTAGGAATTCACACGCATCCTCATCAGAGACTTGTTTTTTGTACTCTTTTGGATCTTCCATTATCGGCGCCCTCTCCTCTTCCTCATCGAGCTGTGGGTTTGTGAATTCGGGGAGTTTTTGCTTTCCCCGTCTTATTTCTTGCCTTTTTGCAATTCTTCAATTCTATGCTTTTCTACATCATCTAGGGTATAATATTTGCCGGTTCTAGTCATGTCGCCTACCCTAGTTATGTTTGTCACTTCATTTTGGCGATTAGGGGTGTTTTGATCCACCTCATAGTTGTACATCCATGGCACTGGTTTTGGATTTTCATATTTGAATGGTCTTGGGGATTTTATGATCAAAGGTACCACTTTCGAGGATGGAGGACTAGGTTCCTCTTGCTTGGCTTGGTAGCAGATGACTCCTTTTTGCTCTTGGGGATCCTCCCTTAGTGATTACATCATGTTTACATCCCCCATGACTTTTCTTTTAGTCCTAATCAATATCACTTTTGCATCCATGAGTTGTTATAACTTTATTTTGAATGGACCACAATACTGGATAGAGTGCCCTTTAACTCCCGCATGATAGAGACATGTATCTTCCAAATTTATGACGGGCATTTCTTCGTTAGGGTTCTCTAGGTAATTTTTGTGGGATAGTATCTTATATATGCACTCTAGAGGTGTCTTTATTTCTGCCACACTTACCCTGTCCTCTTATTGTTCAAATTCTTCGATGTCATTTACTCCCTGCCCCCCATGATTGGGAAGTGGATTATTGTTAACATTTGGCCTGTTGGCTTGTTCTTCGAATTTTAGCCAACCAACTTTTATCAACTGTTGTACCTTGATCTTCAACATTCTGCAATCTTCAGTTGAGTTCCCTAGGACCCCCGAATGGTAGGCACAATGTTGATCCAGCTTATACCAATTTGGGTAAGGTGGTTGCACGGGCTCAGATGGTATGGGGGCAATCAAATGAGTTTGGATTAATTGAGAAAAGAGTTCAGTATATGTGATGGGAATGGGATCGATTTGAAAGGTTTTACCATATGTTCGAAGAGCATTCTGATCTCTGTTGCTTGCTTGGGGTGGTGCTGGTGGTCGATTTTGGTTTAGTGGTTGAGTAGCATAATTCGGGCGTTGAGTAACAACTGTAGCATTATTTATGTATGGACGAATTTGATTGGATTGAGTTCGGATGTTCCATCTCCCTACTTTTGAGGACTCTCCCTGGGCTGAATTGACCTCCCCTTCCTTCCTTCGGGTATGGCTTGATTTTCGTGAAGTTTCTAGGCTCTCCATCTTCCTTAGTTTGATTCCCTTTTCAATTCTTTAACCAATTACTAACATATCAGCAAAAGTTTTTGTAGTGATTCTGACCATGTTATTGTAATACGGAGGTTTCAGAGTTTCGATCATTTTTTTTCCACATTATGGGGGCTAAACGTCTGTAGCCTTTCCTCGCCACCTTTGGGTATACTCTCGGAAGGACTCCTCCTCTTTATTTTCCATGGCGCGTAGATCTTCTCTATATGGGGCCAAATCTTGATTGTGCTTATAGTGTTTGATGAATGCATCAGCAAGATCTTGCCACCTTTTAACCTTCGACCTTTCGAGCTGCATGTACCACCTTGCAGCTGGCCCAGTCAAACTGTTCTGAAAACAATGTATCATAAGTTTGTCATCTCGGACGTGATTGCCCATTTTGTTACAATACATGATTAGATGGTTCTAGGGTACGTGGTACCGTCGTATTTTTCAAATTCCGGGACTTTGAATTTGGGGGGGGGGGGGGGGGGGGGGATTATCACGTTTGGTATGAGGCATAATTGTGTGGCATCGGTAGAACCATATGATTCTACCCCTTCAATGGCTCTCACTCTTTTGTCCAGGTATTCCCATTTTTCTTTTAACAGTATGTCATTTTTGACGCCTTCTATTTTTTCATCCTCTTGGTCACGTTTGGGCGATCCCATATTATTTTTGTCATGTACGATGATGACTTTGGGGCTTCAGCTTTCCCCTTTTGGAGAAACATCATCAGAATGTACTTCTTCATTATTGGATGCTATTTCTTTCCCTTTTGCCGACAACATCTTTATTATCATGTTCAGGTGATCCTTCATTTCATCAAACCCAACCCATTTTTCATCAAACCCTTTTATCTTTCCCTCAATGTCACTCAACTTCTTCTGAAAAGCCTCCATAACGAACTCGGCTTTAGATCTCGTTAAGTATGTAAAGTCTTGACTTTTCCTGGTGGATGACCAAATTTAAAGAAAACCTGGTGCTCTGGTTTTTCATAGTGAAATATTTCATAATTAGTCGATGCAAAGTGATAAGATGTCATGCTTATGCTAGATAAGGTGAATGTATGATGTGGTGTTTTTGTTAACGCATGAACGCAGTTCTATGGTTTGCCAATGAGACAACATCTCTGCTTCCAAACTTTATATTTACAATAGTTGGGGCTACTATTACAATTCCTTTGCGCTTCAAGGCGTTGTACGCTTATTACATGGTCTCGTACATATATCTCAAGAGACCATGATTACAAAAATAACCCAAAACAAATTGTTTACCCTCCTATTACCTTACCTGGTCATATTACAAAACATCATGGTTCAAAAAGGCACGTTCAACCTTACGTTTAGGCACGCCTAGGCGCAAGGCAATGTCAAAACACCTCTCCTAGGAGTTTCACGCCTAGGTAGATACTGGAACACGTCAATGGAGTAAGGCAACATCTAAATCTCTCCTAAACATAACTAGATGGAGGTAGGAAGTCAATATTAAATGAGAAAATCAACGTCACAACAAAATGAATTTTCTGTATCAATATTTTCAATAGCTCATAAACTTTGTGAGCTATTGAGCTATGATTTTATAGATTCGTGAGTTATTTTCTTGTCATTAAGTGTTGACTAAGTTATTAATCATTTTAGTTGAAGTGAGAAAGTGTTGTAGATTATTATTTCATTCATCATGTAGTGCGAATATCTATTTTTCTTCCAAGGACTAGGCACGCTTAGTCTACGCCTATGCGAGCTAGGTGCTAGGCAAAGTCTCAACGCCCACCTTACGCTTAGCGCCTTCTTGAACCTTGCAAAAAATTATAATATGATTAGTAGAAACTCCCATAATACATCAGCTCCTATTGTAGGTTTTCAAGATAGGTTCGAAGGTTTGGATCCGGATTCTCCATTTGTGCCAAACGTAGTCTGGCCACTTCGGCTTCATTGGACAACTCATATGCCCTTTTGGTAGCTCCTCTAATGACTTCCATGAGACGGTTAACCTTCCATTCTTCATTGAGCCTGTTGTTTTCCAGTGTCTATGATGTAATTTGTCAGTCTGCATTTTCTATCTCGATGGCCTCTTTTTCAGCAGTTACTCGGTCAATCTCCTCATGATACTTGGTGGCTTCCTTCCTTTGATTAATGATAATATGCTCCTTTTGTTGACCCCATGCTTCCATATGCTCTAATCTTTCTTGCATCGCCTGATTTGCACTTCAGTGTTCTTTGATTGCAGACCTTTGCTCGTGGCTCATATCTTACAACTGAATAATCCTTTGATTCTGGATATAGTTTGCTTCTTCAAGTTTCTTCATTTGGGTGAAATGCCCTCTTGTACATGCCCACATCTCATCATTTTCTCGTTGTAGTTGGCTTAGAGACATATCTTTAGCCAAAGATCCCACTTGGTGATGCATCACAGGTGGCAATCTGGATTCAAAGTTCAATTTTCTCTTGCCTTTCCTGTTATATAGTGACTGCTTTTCTTCGTCCCTGATACCATGGTGTGTATTCAGGAGCCAATAAATCGTGGAGGTCATGACCACCTTTCGTCATTACAATGCTCAAACTACGATTGATTAGTCTTGGGTTTTTCCAACATGGTAGCACTTGTTCATTTTTAGTTTTCGAATCGGGAGTAAAGTACCGGTAACTAAACCAGCCCATTCCCTCGGTTGCTAACACAATCTGCATGAAACCAACTTGCCTTCTGAACATATTTGGTGCATACGTCACACATCCTTCGGGACCTAGCAGAGGTACCCATGGGTTGATCCCGCAACTATACAATACACTTCCCTCGTTCATCCACAGAGCTTTCCATTGGATATCATCACTCCCGAATGTGGCGAAATAACTCTTCCAATGCTCTTCAAATGTTGACGTATAGATTGAGTCCCCTGAGGCAAACTCTCTAATTGGGCATCACTAACGAGTATCTCATTATTGGGATCCCTCTTCTCGGTGAGGGTTTCAGATGTCCTAAGATCCACACTAGTAATGAAGAGCAACCAAGTAGGATGCCCCCATGATTTTTTCTACATCTACCCAATGCTGTGAACGTTTCAGCAGAATGGAGAATATTGGGTTGACATCATGTGTATCCTGTTCAAACACCTTCATGGCGGAGTTGTCAATGTGGTCTATGATTCGAGGTATAGGATTAATCCGTATAATACCAGCGCAAATATCTTCAAGTCCCTCTCATTTTTGGTCCAATGGTGATATGAGATATGTGTATCGACATGAATGTATTCAATCTCACCATCAGATCCTATCAGATGCTCTATCTTTGCACTTTTTGTATCTATAATTTGGGATAATACATTATTCGCCTTAAGATAAGGCTTTTGGATGTAGATTTTATATGGCTTCTTGGGATCTGTTTGGAGGATAGATTTTTACTCTTCCATAAGGGGGGAAAAATCATTCTCATTTATGGAGAAGCAATGATAAAACGGATCCCAGTAGTTGAGCAGTTCTTGAATCATGTTTGCCGGGAATGGGACATATAACATATCAGGTATTCTTCCGTATATGCGAGTGAACACCTTCTGCTCTTGTTCAGTAAAAGATCCCCACATCTGCTTGAGTGATTGGATCCTGTTTTTAAGAATCCTAACTGGCCCCACGGGTAGCAGATCAAGCACTGTTCTCTTGGTAGACGATCACCTCTTTCCCTATACCGTTTCATTGAATTGAACACTACTATTTCCTCTTCTTCAATAATGGGTAATATTCCCGCCATGTTGTAAATATAAAATTCTACAGCACATATGTTATCTCGTGGCAAAACATTCATGAGATGACATGTTAGCAATATCAAAATTAAAGAATAAGTGTGAATCCATGCGTGCAATGATATGGTTACCGCGCACAGTTAAAAGGAAAGCCATCCACATAGACATTAGATACAAAACACCAAACCTTTTATTTTTTCATTTAGGGAAGACATCTAAACTCCCTTTCCTTTTTGTCTCCATTTTTTATTTTTTTTTTCTTGGGAGTTTCGGAACAAAATGTGTTAAAATAACCTACCTATTCCTGGTAGTTGATAGTTACTATGGACTCCGACCTTCATTCCAACATTCGTGAGGGCTCTAGGTCTTTGGGGTCTGCATCTTCCAGTGCCTTGGAGCACTCACCTATGTAAGTCCTTACTTCAGCTGCTTGCTTTATATTATATTCGGCTTTCTTCAGAAAGTATTTGTCTCTCATGAATGGTGGGAAACAGACCTCTTTGATTCTTCCGTCGGTGTGGTAGTTTCTGGCGCATCTTAATGCCACCAGGACGTCATTTGGTGACAAGTTGTTACGGACACAGAGTCTATCCTTCATGCTTTTCCATGATGTAGCCATTTTTATTGGTTCCCGAGTGGGATTCTCTATGAAGCACTGTTCAAACTTTGGAGACGGTTTTTCCACTACCACGTACCCGTTATTCACGATCATTATTTCTCTTCCACACGAAAGGTAAGGAAAAGATAGTCATGATGGTTTTCATCGAGGAACAATGCCCATCTGCGTAGTGATAGAAACTATCGGAGCCATTTTCCCAAGAGAGTTACTTTGTCAAGGAAAGTTTCAAATTCGTGAAAAAAGTTCTTCAAAAAAGGTTGGTGCCGACACGGATCATGCGTCTAAGGAGACAATATACAATCTTCAACATGTCTGGGTATTCTTCGAGAGGTATATAAAATACATTCAGGAACATAAGGTGTGGCGTCCAGTCCAGATGTTTGATCGGGAGATTATGATTGCCATACATGTATAATAGAAGGTTTCTCGCCCTTTCGATGAATACATCGTCATTCCTCTTCAGTCTCCTCGTGATTATATCCTGAACGATTTCAAGTGGCACCTTCCTCAAGTTGCGGACTAAATTTTGATCAATCCAGACAGGTGCGGGCCTGTTGGCAGTAGAACGAGCGAGCACTTGCTGGGCTATAAAGGTGCCTTCCATCTAACCATCATATGTAAACGGCTTAAGTTTTAATTGCGCGCGATAAAAAATGTATTTGATAGCGGTGCATGAGAATTGTGCTCGTATCAACTTATCATTATTATATATTTTTTAAAGTCATTTTCAACACATAACTCTTTGTTATACAAACAAATGAGAATAAACAATATAGAACAACCAAAATATTCATTTATCGCAGTAGAATATACACAAAATATAGTATAGCTACACACATTTAAAATAAAGAACACTCAAAACATTTATCACTGCAGTAGAAAATACATACGCAATATATACATATATAAAAATGACTGCCTATTTTAGGTTTCACCTAATTGTATACGGGCATCGTAACAGCATGGTTAAGGGTGGCTTCATAATTGTTATGAACGGTCAAGGGTGGCTTCTAAGCTTACTATATGCTGGCAGAGGAATTCCTAGGGATTTGGCTCCAAAGTTGTATCCTACCGTAGCCTTTTCGAACTAGCTGGATACCTCGAGATCATCCTTGAATCCGAGTTCTACTTGGTTAGAAAGTTTTGTGTGACTACCACTACTGTGGATGTCACAGAACTCCTTTCAATTTTCTAAAGGGATAGCTCGGGCATAGAGCTTTTGTGCATGAGTGCAAAATTTAAATTGCGAAAATATAATTGCGTAAATAAGTAGTGAACACCAAACACGTAATAAAAAGTTAGAAAACTTATCAAACTTAGTTATATAGCTCGACTCTCGAATATCCCCAGCAGAGTCACCATCTGTCTCAACCTTCCATTCGGGGGTCGGGGTCGCGTTCGCTTTTTAGGAGTCGCCATCGATCTTACTTGGAGTGGATCGAACACTCTTCGGTCAGCTCTAACTTTAGAGTAAGAACAGAGAAATGGTCTGCGAAAATAAAATTTTGGGTTCGGAAGTACGATTACGTGTGGGGAAGTTAAGTAACACCCCCACAACGCCCTAAATCGGTACTACTTGAGTTTATAAGTTTTATATTAGTTGGGTGTATTTTAGTAATTATGTATTTTTAAAAAAAATCACAATGGACCATTATAAATATTGCTATTTCATTGGGTATAATTTAACTAAATGTCCATTGACGTATTAGTTTATGATTACGTATTGTAGGTATTTTATGGCCTTACTGGACCACTAAAGAAATTAAATCGTATTAGTTGTAATTTAATTATACACCCACTGACGTAAAAATTGAAGATAAAATTGATTAGTTACTTGAACTCGAACCTTATCGGTTGTCTACGTACCGGTTGGACGAGATAAAAGCCACATAGTTCGTTTGGGTCAAGTTTTAAAATATGACTTTTATCACGTTACACTTATAGTGGTTCTCGTATTAAGGATTTTTTTAACTTTGATAGCTTTAATCATAATTTTTACCATGTTCCACTGAACGTAGTTCTCGTATTATAATTTTGTCAATAAAATTTCATTTAGATTATCATGATGTTATGAAAATAAATGCAAGGATTTTAGTTGTTAAGAAGAAATATGATGTATTAGAAAAGAAACAGGATTAACATAATCCGCATTCAAAATTTTATATTAAGGATATTAAATAAAACTAAATGATTAAATTTACACATGATGTGCAAGCAACCCAACTAGTTAAGTCACTATTTGAGGTGTACACTTGACCCCGAGGACGAGAGTTCGAAAGTCGACTACTATAATTTTTTTGCAAGTCAGAGACGCCGGGGGGGGGGGGGGGGGGTAATTTCATAAAGCCTCAAAAACACGGTTTCAAGGCCGGGTAAATGGTTGGAAACCCTAGAGGTAATTTAGACATTTTAATCGTCGGGGTATATATTCATCTCTAACAAAACCCTAATCTAACCTAATCCTAAGGCTAAAGTGGTCGCCAGCCCTCTCTCTAACTTGTTCCCTCTCGACTCTCTCCTCTCTCTCGTCTCCTCTTCCAGAAGAGACCCCAAAAACCCTAATCAAACCAATCGCCACCCTTTCATTCTTCTCCCTCTCGCATTCTTTTTCTCTAAACCGAGAAGGAGAAACAGACGGGCCCTCTCCCTCTCCTCATTTCTGGAGCGGCGACGAAAACGAAGAAGAACTCTGGGGGCGGCGATTGTAGGCATACATTGCCGACAACGACGACGATGGGGGTTGGAGTTAAAGGTTCGTATTTATATTTTGCATGTCCATTTTTACTATTTTCAGATTCTGATTTTAGGGGTTTCGAGATTCTAATCCTTTTTTTGTTTTTATTTGCAGAAATTCGACCCAAAGTCGAGAGGGGGCGATCTGACCTTCCTCGCCGAAACGACTGCGACAAGGGGTGAATCTTACCATTTGGTAAAATTTTCTTTGCATGCACGCTTGATTTTGTTGATTCTAGGGATCATACTTTGATTTGGTTTTTGTTTTGTTTTGATTGTCAAAGAGGCGAGGACGACGTCGGCGAGAGGCTTACCGGCGACGAGCCTGACGGCGGAGACGAGGCGGCGAAATTGCCGATGTTTCCCTCCGTTCAAGGTGGGTCCTTTATTCTTGTTTCAGGGTTCTGATTTACTACCTCTACTATTTTTTAGAGTCTGATTTTTTCTTATTTCTGCAGATCTTTAAGATTTGAAGAAGGCATTAGGTGATATCCTTTTGAATCATGGTTTCTTTGCCTTATCTGGTTTGGAGTCTAGGTTTTAATTTTGGTTTATGGATCTGCTTATGTGCCCAGATCATGGATTTGGGTCGAACTCCTTGATTGCTACCTAGCTAAAACAATTAATTGGGAAGTTTTTTTATTATAAAAAAACGCTACTGGTTTGGTTAAATCTCCACTTTCTAAAACGAATTTATAGCGAACTCAAAGCCATAGCCACTGCTTATGACCATCCTGTTGATGAGAATTTTCAATATGAATTTAAGCCATAGCAACTCATGACCATAAGATTGATGGGAAGCTTACCTCTAAATTTGGGCTTTGGTAATAGGATTAATTTTAAAACTAGTGCGGGTTTGTTAATATGAAATTTGTTGTACATATGATTTTATTGGATACATTGGATTTAGGTATGAGAATTCAAAACATATAAAAAACAATTAAAATGAAATTTATTTGTGATTACCAAATTTTGGTAATCGGGTAAAAAAAAGGGTGCTCTTAAACACAAAAAGAGGTATTTTAAAAATACTCTCCCAATGGCTTTTTGTTGTCTGCCCCTTTCGTGCTTCTTGATGCTCCTGGTCTGCCCCTTTAGTGTTCAATGCTTTGTATCTTTAGTGTTTGAGTTTTTTTCTTGCCCTCTGTCCCCTTTATCTTTGAGGTAAGAAACCTCTTATATACTCCCTCTTGACTGTAGCTTCCTTTTGTGCTGACCACTTTGTATTTGCTTTTGAAGTGGTGGACGGATCCATCCCTTCTGATGGCAAAATTGTGTTGGTCTTTGGAGGAGATGGCCGCTTTGTTGTTTTTGAGAGAATGGCACAAAAAATCTTCTGCTTCTTGAGATGTGATATGGATCTGCCTCTTGGGATGTGATATGGACAGTGGGGTCGGTTGACCGGGTCGATCAGAATTGACTGGGTTGACCAGTGTTTACTTTGGTTGATTGGTTTACTTTGGTTGATTGGATTGGTTGACCCGATTGGACTAGGTCGAAAATCATGCGCCTGAATAGGGTTTATGGTTTGAAAATTGGGCTTAAATATGGGCTGCTGGTTTGGGCTAATTTCTAATAGTTTCTTTTCCTTTTTTGCAAGTCCTTGGTATGTTTTTGGACCAAGATGATGATCATAAATAGTGACACGTCAGATATTTCAATTTTTTAATATTTACATATCATAAATTAAAAAAAACCTCACATACCCCATCTGCGTCGACCCATCTTCCCCAACTTTTCTTCAATTTTGATTTTAAGGTTATTCCCCAACTTCCATTACCCACGCGAGTCCTCTCCTACGCCTTCTCCTCCCTAATCTCCCTCTTCCATGCAACAAAATCTCAAACCCATAAATACCCAAAATCTATGGATCGACATTCAAGCATGAATCTATTTGAGCTAGGGATTGAGGGCTCTACTCTTAAATCTCCCAGCAGCCGACAGGAGCGGAGTTGAATAGGTAGGGATTGGGGGCGGCGATTGAAGTCAAGGTAGGAATTGATTTTTTGGCAGATGGATGTTTCGCTTACGGCTCATCGTCACTACTTCAGAACTCCGGCTCCAGTGAGGATCTTCAGCAGCTGGTGATGGACGAGAGGAAGAGGAAGATAATCTAGTCGAATCGATCTTTGAGGCGGTTGCGACGCTCGCCTCACTGCCTCGCTCCCTGCCTCATCCTTTTCTCAGCCTCTATCGCCGGCGATGGATCTTGAAACGAGGAAGACGAGAAAGAGGGGCGGTGGCGGTTTCTTTGCGAAGCAACTGCGAGCGCATCAAAGAGAAGCAGAAACGGGGGCAATATTTGTGGTTCAAGATGCAAAAACGAAAACTCATATTTGAAAGAGATGATTTGTGGGTCAGTTGGTATTAGGATTTGTGCGTGAAGATTGGTGTTATTTGATTTTCCCAGATTTGCTTGTTTATTTTGTTTTATTTATTATTCAGTTTGTTTTTATTATTCACAAATCAAAAGACAACGTGTAAAATTTATGGGGTTTTTTATTTTTTGTTTAGATTTTATGTGGCTCAAGTGTTCATTTCCAATTTCAGGAGTTTTTTTTAATTTCTGGTCAGTTAATTTTTTTTAATTAATCATTAGCCACGTGGATAATTACAGAGTAAATGGGAAATAAAAGCTCGCCATGTAAGCATCTCCATTTGTCTAGTCACACTTAACGCTAACACCGTTAAAGAATTGGACGGAAGTGGTTATAAGTGGTATTTCTCCAAATTTGGCTATTATTGGCACAAACGCGAAATTTAGACTATACAAGTGTATTTTGTCTTTTTTTTTTTAAAGGAAGATAATTTCAGAGGAAGTAGATGCTTCTAAGAACAAATAAGGCTCAGATTACATATTAAAATTTTGGTATTGGTTCGGTAGCATGTTAGATTTGGGTGTTGTTTGATCGAAGTAGGAAAATTTGGTATTGATTTGTTTCGAGTAATTGGAAAAACCAATAGTGTGGGACGGCAGAGACAGAGAAAGAAACATTCTTATTTTTTTGTTCTTGGTGTTTTCTCTTGCGCCCCGCGGCATCACTTACGTACAACCATGTGAGGACTGTGGACTTCACCTTGAGGTAGATGAGTTACCTGCCTACTTCTTGATATTTGTTTGAAAATTTTTTTCCAATTAAATTTCAATCTTACGGGATCAACGTAATTTTTTATATAATGGTGACATAATTTTTTCCGGTTGTGGCCTCCATTATTAAGCTCAAGCTTGACCAACTGCATATGATTGGTTACATATGTTGGTTTTTTTACCATTGGCGACTATTTAAAAGATTTGAACTTGAAACTTTCAAGTTTAATAATAATGATATTATAATTAGACCAGACCTCAATAACATAGAAATGTATGATAAAAACCACATTGATACACGTACCTCAAGTCATTACATTACAATACTATAGTTGCCCCAAAATTAACTAGTTAATTAAAGAAAAGGCTTCCCTGCAACCAATCATATGATAAGTCCAACTATCATTTATAAAGCTGACATAACATGAGTAAACGTTTTGGTCACATTTGGTGGTGACTTCAACATGCTTTCGAGCTCTTTCACAAACCTCTCCATTGCCTGCGTCGGCAAGCTAATAGCCAGAACAATCCCATCCTCCCCTTCCTTGTTCTTACACGGTATACAAAAGTTGGCTAATCCCGGAACTGGCCCGACATCTGGCTCAGCCGGCCCACCATAAACCGGCGAGCCCCACCCGAAATCCACGGTCTCAAACCCGGCCCTAGTCACATCCGACACTAGGTATGTCCACCTTGTCTTCAAGAAATCAGGTCGTCCTGTCAACGCCATTAGATCGGCGACAGACTTCATGTACTCCTCCGTCACCTCACCTTTGGCCTTTCTCACGAGATCTAAAGCATAACCTAATGGGTTCCGGCATAGCTCGCCAGCCGGTGCCTCTGCCACCGCGAAGGCGAAGGTGTTGCCATAGTAACCTACGGGCAGTGGTGGATCGGAGAATTTTCCTCGCATGCTGACAAGGCAGATCATCCTCATCGTTTCTTCGGGGCCGGGCCGAAGGGCGACCGTTCGACACTTCCAGAGGCAGGATGCCAAGATCTCGAATCGGGAGTAGGATTGGCGGAGGTGCGGAGGAGCGTGGCGACGAAGGGCGGATAGTTGGGAGCGGCCGAAGAAGAAGGATATTTGCGCCATGCTATCGAGATTGTGATGCATTGTTGTCAGTGTGTTGCTGGCTTGTTGTCCGTACTCGCGGTGGGTATGTGTCACGCGTGGAGGGGAGCGTGCACTAAGAAAATGTCTTTCCCACACCGGAGGGATAGAGGGAGCGTGGGATCCACGAGCGATTTCGCCGATGGCGGACATGAACTGGACCAGACCGGGAGCATCACTCATGCAATGGGAAAGACGGAGGGCGAAGATGAAGCTGCCACATTTGAGGCGCGTCGCCTGTTGTATTTTAAGAGAATCAAAGCACAAAAATATTTAGAGAACGAATCGTATGCATAATTTCCCTCTATAACCATGCACAATTCTATGTACTATTTATGAAAGATAATTAACTTTTTTAATTTAATATAACGGGTTTTTTTATGTTGTCAACATAATTTTGAATTTGTACACAAAAAATCATATTAATTGAACTTTTCAAAATGATGTCGTTTTGATATATTTTGGAAAAAAAAAAACTGATACATTTATTACCAGTCCATAGCATGGTTGTACATAAAATCATACTAAGGAAGTATAAAAGTGTATCGTCGTAATATGGATATACCATCGTGTTGAATAGTCGTAAACATAATTTTAAAAATATAATAAATATCATTTACTACTTTTCACCATCGTCTACCACCGGTTGTCACCCTATACTATGATTTTACAAAGAAGATAAAAAATAAAAATAAAAACAATTTATTCTCGCCCTCTAAATCTGACCCCAATTCTCAACCTACCAAAACTAGTCGCAGGACTATTGACCCTATACCAAATATTTATATGGGTAATTAACAGAAATTGTGATAATATTTTGCTAAAAGTATATAACACAGCTATATCTTTGGCAATATATATATATATATATATATATATATATATATATATATATATATATATATATATATATATATATATATACTCAGAGGCATGACGCATGGATGTTTGTATGGCTTTTAATAATGTTTAACCTGAATAAGTAGGAGAGGGGAATGAAGGACGGCGTTAGAGCCGGGAACGTCGAACAGAAGCTCTTTCATGCAAGGAAATGGTGGCTGAAGCTGGTCCCCGAACTCCGTCAGCCGGACATCGGCGTCGGCCTCCACGAACAGCACGCCTTCGCCGGTGCACTCCACCATGAGCTTCCGGTTGGGCCCTTCCCTCAGGCGACCGGCGAACGGATAGTAAGGCACAAGTGTCTCTGACAACGCCCGCCGGATCACTGCCACGGGGTCGTCCTTCCCACGAATGGAAGGCGCGTGCTTGTAGAACTGAATCACAGGGATGTGGAATCGGAGCCCTTGCTGGTCGTCAATGTCGGAGAGGAGCTTGACCTCGTATGGGGTCGGTTTGGCCGGTCGGACCAGCTCCGGTTCGCGCCTGTGGACCTTGAACACCAGGGTGGAAGATGGTGCGGCCATTGGTTTTAATTGGTTTGGGTCTGTTTTGTTGGAATCGGGCACTGCAGAAGCGAAGTCCTTTTGGTTGCTGTTATTTATAGCCGAAGGTTTGGGATTGGTTTTAAGTTCTCCACCAACGTAAAATATAATTAGTTATTAGTTAGTATATAACGGGCAAGTGCCTGGCTATGGCCCAGTCAAACATTTGAACTTAATTCATTTCCTTATAAATCAAAGCAACTGGTAATATATATAACAGGAGATATAATGAACAAAATGGCGTCTGGTGATGTCTGACGAAGTAGAAAAGTCGTCAACTTGAAATGGAAATTTTGTTTATTTCATTAGGAATCAAAACAACTGGACCATATATATGCAATAAACCAAAAGGATAAATTGGCTGGCAATGGTCGACCAAATAGCAAAGTCAACTTCAAAAGTGTTGGCTTGAAGACTGCTGTTGAACTACTACGGCTCCACCTCCACCTTCAATTACATAATTACCATATTCCTTGACAACATAAGACTATCTCTTGGAGTCTTGGTTTAGATTTGAACTCTGGTGCAATTGGGAATTCCTTATCAAGACCTGGGGTAGGATACTATGCTAACCCCTAAAGGTGTAGTGATTTTTGACACCCCCTTTATGATTGGCCAATTTTATTTCCAATCATTGGCAAGTATTAATTAAACTGGTTTTTTAATTTTTTTTAATCTTGTAATTTGGGGTCTCTCACCACATTGGAAAAGAGAAAGAATCTGGGGAAAAACGAAATCACCCCCATTAATTACATAATTAATTACACGTACCACTCCACTGGTACACGTACCACTCCACTGGTACACGTACCACTGGAGACGAGCCGATGCTGTCTGCGGCGGATCACGGCGAGTTCTCGTGGTTTGGGGAGATGGAGACGTCGTCGTCAGCGATTCTGGATAGCCCGATATTCTCGGGGAGGGGAGGACAGCTGGCGGATGACGTGGGCGGGGATTTGTTTCTGCCGATGAGGGAGGAGGACGAGTCGTTGTTCGCCGATCTGGGGGAGTTGCCGGAGTGCACGGCGGTGTTCAGGCACCACCGTGGATTGGGGATGGAGGTCCAGATCTGCTGATCGTAATCACTGACGTGGTGACGGCCACTTTTTTTTTTTTTTAATTTTCAATTTTTATTTTGTTTGATTGGATCGTCGTCATCAATCGCGAGGGGAAGGTGGGGAGGGAGGATTATTAAAAAAATATTCAAAGGTGTGCGTATCGTGCGCCATAAGAAAAGAGAAAAAAAAAGCTTAAAATATAATAATATAAAAATAGTATTTTTCTTTTGAGGGACGGGCGTACAATTATTAATTATCATTTTTTCGTATTTTTGTAATTTCGTATTCTCTTCTTTTTTTTCTTTTTTCGTTTTTATTTGAGCAATTTTCATATTTTGCCTTGATTTCAGTGTAGTTGTAGTAGAGAACTGAATAAAAACGACGGAAGAAAAGAAAAGAGCCCACTTATCCGATGTGTCATGATCGTTTTTGTAATTAACCATCCTTCAACTTGGTTGCCGTCTCCATCGGATTATGTATTGCCCTTCACTTTTATACCGGTGTAAATACTTGACTTGTAGACAGCTCAATTATTGGGGATTGTCATGCTAATGTTTTGTGTTTTTCTCTTGTTTTTCGGTTGTGTTAATCGAACTTTCTACATATCAATTTTATGCGTAGTAGTACGAAAAATGTCAATAACATGATTCGCATATTTTGTGGGGTGTGTGGATACCCGCCGGTCTACTTTGGCCTGGTGTGTTTAGTATGTTAATGCTTTCATATCTTGGTGTGTCCAATTTATGAGACGAACTGCAGTAGCGACAGCCTCAGGCCAAAAACGACCAGGAACTCGAGATGCAAGAAGAAGAGCTCGAGTAAGTTCTACACATGACGGTGTTTGCGTTCGACGAGACCATTTTGTCGAGACACACCAGGACAAGACATTTGACTTAAAATACCAAGAGACCGATATACATCATGAAAAGGAAAGGAACTAAATTCACCAACAAGATCAGAATGGATGATTTTAACTGTTTGACCAAATTGAGTCTGGATCATTTGAAGGAATTCACTAGCAACAGCATGAAGATCATACTTCAATCGCAGGAAATAAATCTAGGTAAATCGTGTGGCATGCATGAAATCAAGGTTCAAGAAGGCGCTAGGCGTAAGGCGAGCGTTGAGGCTTTGTCTAGAGCCTAGCTCGCCTAGGCGTAGACTAAGCGTGCCTAGGCGTTGGAAGAAAAATAACTATTCGCACTACATGATGAATGAAATAGTAATCTATAACACTTCCTCACTTCAGTTAAGATATTTAATAACTTACTTAACACTTAATGACAAAGAGCATAATCATGAATTCATGGAATCATATATAGCTCAATTGCTCATAAAGTTCTTGAGCTATTGATAATATTAATATAGAAAATTGATTTCGTAGTTGACGTTAATTTCCTCCTATAATATTAACTTTCTAGCTCCATCTAGTTATATTTAGGAGAGTATTAGATGTTTCCTTACTCCATTGATGTATTCCAGTATCTAAGTAGGTGTGGAACTCCTAGGCGAGGCATTTTGTCATTGCCTTGCGCCTAGACGTGCCTAATCATAAGGTTAAGCGTGCCTTTTTGAACCATGGGCATGATCAATGAAAAGAGCAAAATATCGGTACCCATGGCGAGATAGAGTAGGTGCAGGACCCCAAAATCAATATGAATGGCATGAAAAGGCTTTGTAATAGCAATAGTACTGGAGGGCAAAGAAATGCCGGTAGTTTTGGCTTCAACACAACTAGTACATGAATGATGTGTAGAAAAATCAACATTATTTTTCCAAAGTAATGATTGTCAAAACATCTTTACAAGGTGATCCAAATAAGGGTGTGCTAACTTAGGATGCCAAAGATCCCATACACTGTTTGATTGACTCGAAAAACAAGAAGAGGAAAATGGAGATGGACTACTAACAGACCTATTTGAATGACTACCGACGAACGACGACTCTGAAGACTCACGAAGTTCCTCCAGATGAAAGATCCTCAAGTGTTTATCCCCCTTTCTGATCTGCCTTCCCGTCTTGAAATCATGTATAGAACACCCAGACGGTGTAAACAAAACAGAACAACCCTGCTCAGTAAGTTGCCCGACAGAAACTAAGTTGGGAACCAACTTAGGCTCATGTAATGTATTAGGCAAAGATAACCGTGACTCAGCAACTTTACCCACCCGCGAACACCAAATTAATCACCATTAGCTACTCACAAGTAGGGCTGGTAATCCGGTATCCGGTTAACGGTATAACCGGAAACCGAACCGTTAACCGACGGTAACCGGTATACCGTTGGTCCGGGACATGATAAACGAAGATGTCCAGGCCCGATTGGTCCGCAAAATCCGGGTCCTGATGTGCCGGAATCAGCTAATGCGACATAGTTTGCTTTTATCATTTTTTTTTCAAGCTAGTTGAGACTCTTACTTTGCAATTAAATGTGTATTGTTGATTGAACGAAATGTGTATTGTGTATTGTTGATTTTATCGTTCATTGGCTCGAAGTTGGGTTAGAACCCAGAATTTTCAATCCAATCTCTGATCTCCACTGTATTGTTGATTGAACTAATTGGGATTACATAAAGATAAAAGGCATAGTTCCAAGGGGATAGAAATAAAACCAAATTGAAACAACAATCAATTCGATAAACTAAGATAATAGGAATAGTTCAAATTACATAGAAATTAAATTCAACTCTCAAATATAACTCAAGGAAGTCCACGAGCTTCACCGGAACCCACGGTTTTCTTGCTCCTTGTACGACGACCGACGGGAGTAACAATCGGTGGCGGCGGTGGCAAGTTTCGAACTCGGGCCAAGGTAGTTTGGCGCTCGTCGGTGCTGTGTCGGCGGGGAATCGGCACTTCCGGGGTCGAGCGGGGGACATCCACGGAAGTACGGTGAGTAGTAGGAGGCCACTGCTGATGAGGGCGAGTCCATGGCGTAAAATCGTGGTGCGCCGTCGCCGAGGAACCATCATGCCAAGTACCCGATGATGTATGGCGAGGAGATGGGGGGTAGACCGGGCGGTAATCATAGTAACCTCCTTGGCGGGGAGATGGGGGGTAGATCGGGCGGTAATCGTAGTATGCTCCATGGCGGGGATCGTTGTATGAGATCGGAGTGGGACTCGGAGGGGTTTGATGGTAGGTCGAGTGGGGATCGTAGTACGAGCCTTGGTGGGGAGTTTGGGTGGAACTAGGGCAGGCAACTTGGGGAGAACTCGGGCCGCCAACTTGTGGAGAACTACGCCCATGTGTTGATTGATTTATGAATATTGCTTTGGGTATGATATGAAACTCCGCCTAGGGTAATGCTAAATCACCTTATGACACGTAAAAAGTACTATGTTTTACCCTTATTTTATGGAAGTTTTGCATAGTTTCATATATTTGGTGACATAATAGTTTGGAATTGCTTGGTAATCACTCAAATGTATGTTTAGTAGCTCCTATGATTACTTTTATTATTTTGATGCATTGTTTATAGTTTTTATGTGTTTTCAAGCCAAAGTATATCCAGTGCACCGCAATTTATGAGTGGGAGACATCAACACCCGACTGCTGGAAGTCATACACGGAGATTGGAGTGAATCCCAAAATTTGGTATGGAACTAGTCGGCTCAATCCCAAATTGGAGGACTATAAGCCAATTTTGGAGAGTCCCAGATCAACCCAGATTCGAGAGAGCCAGATTTGGAGGCTAAGTTGGAGATATACCTAAAGGATCGACCGCATCAATTTTCCAATTTTCCATATAGTCGCAGATTTTCTTAAGATTTGGTTATCTAGCTTTTGACTGGTGTTCTCCCAAAATCTGGGCTTCATGAGCGGCTAGTTCGTTAGTTGTGTAGGTTTTCGAACCCTGGATGTTCTCTAGACTTTGTAACTATTTATTCTTGATTATATATGAGTATTTGAGTTCTTTGTTTATGCGTTTGCTTTCTCAATATGGTTTATTGTCAATATAATTGCACGCCCAACACGAAGCTACTGCTCATAAGATATATAATTCAAATATGACTTTGTGATGGATGTGACTGCCATGGTCGTCCTTCACAATCGGTCATCAATCGATTGGATTGTGTATGATACTCAAGGGAGGAATTCGTAGGGTCACTGTAGCCTAATAGATTTGGTAAACGCCATGACACAAGATATGAACAAATCTTACAAGAATCAAATAACTCATATGTTGCCTGTATCAATCGAAGCAAGTCTAAGAAAACTCTAGGAGGAGATTTGATGACACTCAGATTATTGTGTTTATTATTCCTATATTTGACACATTTTTCTTTCTAATTGATGCATCTTTAATACAAAATACTATGTTCATGTGAAAATCATAATTATTTGATCAATGTACTTATAATAGACCGAGGTCGTGTTTTAGATTCATTTTATGTCTTTTTGTGTTATTTGTTCTTTTCAAAGTTAAACACACGTACTCAAAGATGATTTGGATACAGAAAAGACATATGTAATACATTTGTGAGGGATCGGTTAGCATGCTAACTCTTCTAAGGGGTTGGAAAATGACACCCCTATTAATTATAGTTAATTTTTGTATTAAATTCGTGTTGCATTTAATAATCTTTGGAAATTAAAAAAATCATCTTAATTACATTCCTTTTTTTTAACTACCATTACACCGATACAACTTCCATTGCACTTGTATACTTAACTCATATTAATTACGTTATTATTTTGGAACTACCATTGCACTGATACATCTACCATTGCACCTGTTCACTAATACCACTGCACTGATACAACTACCAGTGCACTGAAAAAGGAAAGTAACTAATATGTGTTTTTAATTCATACAGATTATTAAATGCAACACAAATTAATTACCTTAAGAACCTATAATTAATAGAGGGTGACATTTTTCCAACCTTTTTAGGGGTAGGCATGCTATCTCATCTCCATTTGTGATGTGGTTTGCGATAGTGTCATTAAGCTACATTACGTCTCTTATGAATAACAACTCGTAGACTTATTTACGAAGTCATTCTCGGCTAGTCGTCATTGATATTTGTCGAGAGCCGCGTTAATTTGGGGAAGATTGTTGATAGATACATATTCGAGCTGCGTTGTATGTATCTTATTTTGTATATGTATAGGAAAAATGGCTCATGTTGCATGATAACGCATACGCTACAAAAAAATCTAACAATATCAGTAGCTCGTTGTTATTTGATTCTCAACTTAAACAACCGCAAATGACTAACTTCTCTATTTCCATTCTCTTTATTAACCCGCCATATAAATTCTCATTTCTATCGATATATGCATTTACTGGAACCCGGAGATTTCTATATAGATGCGGTCATCAATTTATCAAACCCTTCTTCTGAAGACAGTTCTTTAAAAAAATGCAAATCCCAGTCTGTGGTGGTTTTCATGCCGTCTGCAGACTGCAGTCCGCGTATATATATATAGGCATATCTCTAAATGCATTATTATTCAATCACTTATGTCACTGTTCAGATCAATGGTCAGGAAATTAACCAATAATGATCAATATCTAGTAATTTGTTGCATAGCTATTAACTATATATGCCGTATCTACACAACTACTAAACTTTCTCGACAAAATTTTATGGCCTTCATATGATAACGAATTAGAATTAATGTGCTCTAGTTTTATATTTTTATTTTAGGCAATTGCTGACTCAAAATTTATTTATTGGTTTTCATTCTATATTACGACTAAACTAGTCTAGGTTTAAAATTGTAATACCGTGTTGGAGAGTCGGATAATATAGTTAGGATTACTACTTAATAAAGAGATTTGAATCTGAGACCTACAGGTTCAAAACAAGTGGTGTTATCACTTGGTCGAACACTTACTGATCAACCTAAAAATATTTTATTATATTCTACTACTCTTGTACATAATTTCTCTTTGTAAATATGTTAGTTTTTTTTTTGTAAGAGAGAATTTATAAATATTTGAGGAAAAACCATTCGCTAAAAAACCTAAGGGGTCGTTTGGATTAGGGAATGTGTAAATGAGGGATTTGGATTAAAATCTCTCAATTAAAAACCCAGGTATTTTAAACGTGGGATTTTATCCAAATAACATGTTTGGGAATAGATGAAGGATTTTAATTAAAAATTAAAGTTACAATTATACCCATCCCTAATCCCTAAGGAAGAATAAGAAAGGAAGAACAAAAGGAGGGGCAGAGTTTGGAAAAGAATGAGAAAAAATGAGTGATTGTGAAATAGCTGATCCCCATCAGCTATTTTGAAAACTCTCATATGAGAGATTTAGAATTTCCTCATGCCCACAATCTCTCACCTTTCCAAACGCAGAATTGTTTTAAAATCCTGCATAACGAGAGATTGTTTTAAAATCACTCATAAATCCCTCATCACATTCACTAATCCAAACGACCCCTAAAAGTGAATGTGCATTGTGCAACCGTTTTTAGAAAAAATATAAATGATGACTATGGAAAGTGCGATATTACAAAAGCAATCATAAGGACTATCAATCCACATTAAAAAAATATGGATGTCCCAAAAATACTCCTAACTATATGCACAAAATTGTTGTAGAACACATTAATTCCACTAACATATTCTCCTTCTCCAAACCAACAAGCTTCTTTCACCGAGACTCAAATCATTTTTCAATGTACATATAATAATCCTATACAACACTACTCTTCTATATGACTTTGCATCGCTGTAAATAGTCGAAATCACATAGAGTATGATATACTCACACAAATACAAGATCAATCGGATAGCTTTCATTACCGTGTCCCCCCTTTTTCTTCTGAAGAGGCAATGTCCCATTCTTAATCATCATTCAAACATCATCTGCACAAAAATTCAAACATCCCCACCTTTGATTATTGTTGTTAAGCGTAAGGTGATGTATGTGTGAACAGCAACTGTCCCCAATTAATAATTGAACCCATGAATAGAACAAATTTAATACTACGGCCCGGCCTTCAGCTTACTCGTTCCAAGGATTTATATTATTATTATTATTATTGATGATATATATTTATATATTGAGAGCAAGAAACAAAATTATCCTGTCCCAATCACACTTAAAATCATGCATCTAGCTAGCTAGGTTTTTTTTTTAATATGCGTATCAATAAATGATTTAGAACCTCTTGAGGGAAAAAGACCGAGAAAAAACAAAAGGAGGGGCTAAATGCTGTTGTTGATGTGACTTGAATTAGACTATCAGTCGCTACGATTGGAATAGTTGGGTCTCGTTGCTCGGTTAGCGAGTGGGGTCTAGGGAAAATGTCCCGGCCCGTGGTGTATGGGCTCAATGTTATTTGGGTTCGGGTTCTGGGCCTAGTCTGTAACTGCTTCCTTACCAGATTGGATCAGGTTTAGACCCACATGGAGAAGTACTATAAATACTTCTCATACTCCTCTGTAATCTCCTCGATATAGTGAAACTGGCTCTCACTCGCCCGTGGACTAGCTAACACACATCGTGTTAGTGAATCACGTAAACCGTGTGTCGTGTTTTTGATTCTCGCTTTTGTATTCTTACTTTCTCTATTCTGGTGATTTTTCGATGTGTAGCAGCGCGTTTATAACAGCTGTTTTGATATATGTTTTCAGATGATCCCTGACCCTGTATAAATCTCTTATACGACGAGATGTTACAAGTTCGAGGATAATTACCATTTGAAAGTATCAATATTCAATAATACTATGATCATTTATCGAAACTAAGAAATATTATACAGAGGTTTGTTCTTTTGTCTTATTACTTTGTTTCAAGCCAAAAAGATGGACCTTAATTTTAATATATTGGTGGGACTGTCTTGTTAAATCTTATACGGTCCCGCCATGGGCTTCTTTGGAGAAGTGGTTCATTTTTGTATATATATTGTTCATCACGTCCATTGAATCCCTTTTCTTTGTCCGTTTTACACAAAGTGATTCGGTATATTTGAATGAAGTTGAATGATGGAGTATGTACGAATTGTGGTAGTTTGTTGTCTAGCTTTGTGTACAAGAGTACGTAGTCTTATGATGTTTCAGTTAGGTTCGAATTTAGGGGCACGATGAGAAATTTAGGAACTTGTTCAACGGTTTAACTCAATAATTATGATGTGAGGTCTAAGGTCGTTCTAGGTGTTTTATTATGAGGTTGTATATATGTAGTTTGAACTCGATCTTGTGTTTTGGTTAGCATTACATATGTCGTGGGGTTGAGTCTACTTGTAGGAGATATCAATTTGTGCATTGACGATATCTAACTTCTACTTAATTGTTCATGTATACATTATTCTTACGGAATCACTATCATTTTATGTAATTTGAAAATTAACCATGCATGAAGATGGTGACAGAGTAGAAATTCAAATAACGTAGCTACTACGAGAAAAAAAGAAGTAAGAAAATAGATCATATAGAACATAGGGTTCTTTCTTCCTTTTTGGTAATAGGTCATGTAATGAGGAAGCTATGATGAGAGAGGTAATTAATGTGATGAGATTTGAAATAAACCTTGGGAGAAGGGGTGTAGTCATTTTCAATTATTAGTTAGGGATGACAATAATTAATGTTGCAATAGTGGCATGAATAAACTAATAAAGAAAACCAAAGGAGCAGAAAATAATTAATGACAACATTAATTTGCACGTCCCTAATAAACAAATATATATATATATATGAAACCCTACCCTAGGCAAAGGCTCATCTGTCAATATGGCGGCCATTTTCATTATCATAATAAAATAAAATTTTAATTATTTACTAAAATAATATAAAACTAAACCCTTTCTCTTTCTCCACCTTCTCTCTCTCCCCTTCCCTTCATTTTCTTCTTCTTCTTCTTCTTGCCTCGCTCACACTCACCAATCAAATTAACCAACTCCCCCATCTCCTCTCCTCTCTCTCCTAATCTGTATATCTTTCAGCTGGCTCTCTCTATATCATCATCCCACTTTCTGCCCGGGGTTTCCGAGGAACAATCCAAACCGTCTCTTCAACTGATCATCAAGCCGCGGCCTGCTCTGCTCTCTTACGACAAATAAACCATATATCTGCCTGCAGGAAGGAAGTAAGGAAGGACAGACGGCGGCGGCCCGTCAGTACCAGAATAGAGGCCCAAACCAAATGGAACGCAAGTTCAACAGCATCAGCTCACTAATGATGAGCAGCAGCGAGCTGGTAGAAGAAAACGACCACTCCACGGAATTAAGTGGGCCTGACTCCCCTCCTTCCGCTTCCAATATCAAGATGGCCTCCACTTCTTCCACTACCACTTCTACTTCTTCCCCTAAACGCACCAGGTAATTAAATTAATTATCATCCCCCCCCTTCCTTCCTTCCTTTTGTGATCTGTGTAATTAGTGAATAATTGAGTATTAATGATGAACCTGGTTGGTGCAGTGGTAAGCGCGGGGCGCATAAGCGAGTGGTGTCGATCCCAATCAAGGACGTGGAAGGTTCGAAGCTCAAGGGGGAGACCGCTCCCCCGCCGGCCGACTCCTGGGCCTGGCGAAAATACGGCCAGAAGCCCATCAAGGGGTAGGATACTATGCTAACCCCTAAAGGGGTAGTGATTTTTGACACCCCCTTTATGATTGGCCAATTTTATTTCCAATCATTGGCAAGTATTAATTAAACTGGTTTTTTATTTTTTTTAATCTTGTAATTTGGGGTCTCTCACCACATTGGAAAAGAGAAAGAATCTGGGGAAAAACGAAATCACCCCCATTAATTACATAATTAATTTCTCTCACTGGTACATTAATTACACGTACCACTCCACTGGTACACGTACCACTCCACTGGTACACGTACCACTCCACTGGTGCGAGCAATCCACAAGGTAGGTTAGAGTGAGAACAATACCAGTGCAATGATATTTTTCATAACAATGATAAACAATAACGGAGCAACAATGCAGTACTACTTCAATGATACAAATACCACTCCACTGGTACACGTACCACTCCACTGGTACGTGTACCAGTAGAGTGGTACGTGTAATTAATGTACCAGTGAGAGAAATTAATTATGTAATTAATGGGGGTGATTTCTTTTTTCCCCAGATTCTTTCTCTTTTCCAATATGGTGAGAGACCCCAAATTACAAGATTAAAAAAAATAAAAAATCAGTTTAATTAATACTTGCCAATGATTGGAAATAAAATTGGCCAATCATAAAAGGGGTGTCAAAAATCACTACCCTTTAGGGGTAGTCAAGCTAACCGATCCCTCAAGACCTGGGAAGTTATATTAATTAATGTACCCAGATGGGAAATAAAGACCGCAGCCAATAATTTGACTGAATAAAGTTATTGTTTAAAGATATATAACCACACGTAACCAGCAAGAAAGATTTAAAGTTTTGTTTTCTATAAATTTCAGCGGGTTATTTCTCTTTCAGTTGTTTTTTTTCCAGATAAATCAGATTTGGGACCATATTACCACGTTAAAATTTATATTGGCAGTGGTTGTATTTAAACCCTATATATACCATTTGACAACCTTTACAATTTTGAAATGAATGTTTTAGGTAAGGTACAACCATATTAAAATACAAAGGAAATGTATATTAATTATTACTAATTTCATTTCTAGAAAATAAATTAATATATAAATCAGTCAAGGGTATGTATGAGACTTTGAAGAATCGATAACCTAGCTAGGTGAATGGTGCAGACTTGAAAAAAATATTTTTAACATGCTTGCTTCGAAATTAGTGTTTGATTTACTTGTCGCAATTGTAAGGATTGAAAAGATATTTTCAAAGATGAAATCAATCAAGAACGATCTTCATAATTCGTGGGAGATCAATTATGAATGATTGGTTGGTTATGCTCATTAAAAAAGGCGAATCCTAGCAAAAATGATGAAGTATTTTAGGAACATATTTGAATATGAAAATACGTCGTTGTTTGCTGTGAATATTGATAAATTTGTGTACTTTGTGATTTTTATTTTATTTTATGAATTTATCATTGAATACCCTTAATAAAATTTTTAGATCCGTCACTGCCTAGCTATATTGATCAATTCGATGGCGGCAGCGACAACGTCTTCCCGCCGTTTCACCCGTTTAGGCAGCATCTTCTTCTGCATTGGCGGAAGTCAAAAGTCTTCCCAGCAATTCCGGTGAAACCCGCGAGCCTTCACTTGCCGGATCTTCCTCACTAAGAAGCTCAAACGATCTTTAGCTTCATCTGCGTTCGATTAATGTTCCTAGAGAGAAAAAAACCCCTCAACCTCGAGCCAACACCTCTGAAGTTGACTTTGCTATTTGGTCGACCATCACCAGTCCATTTAGCCTTTTGGTTTAATGCATTTGCATATGGCCAATTGCTTTGAATCACGAGGAAATAAATAAAATTTCCATTTCACGTTTCAAGCCAACACATTTGAAGTTGACTTTCCTCTTTCTTCGAACATCACCGGACGTCATTTGGTTTATTAAATGTGCCCTGAAATGAATTTGAAGGACGATTTCCTTAAACGACGCCGTTGTAACTGGCTGGACAGAGACGATGTCGTGCAACGTCTTAGTTGGAACGTCATCGTTCTGTTTGCTTGGTTGAGACGTCATCTTTCTGTCTACAATTTCCCCCTTCGTCCGAGAAGTCTGAGTTGACCTGAAATGAAGAACACAAACACAAACAACAGTACTCGAGAAAATAACAGCTTATATTACTTAAGGGTAGGCAAGGATACAGCACATTGGGGCCAGAAATATTGAAAACTACAAATAAAGGGGGTCATTAAAGCCAGCCCTTCATATAAACGGTTCCCCCCTGAACACATGCACACTCACAGGGGTAGCATGAACAAAAGAGCCCTACTAACTAAACCAACAATCAAACTGAAATAACAACATTAAAAGAAACAGAAACACCTAAGCTAGAGATAGTTCCCCCTCAAAGGAGGCAGGAGAGGCATGATCTTCAGGGGCTGAAGCAGCTGAATCATCTGAAGAGGAGTTTCCTTCAGATATAGTGAACACCAAATTAGAATTTTTGCTTGACTCCCCAGCAGACTTGCCCTTTTTGGCAGAAGAGGGTTTTGGTCGAGGATCAAGAATAGAAGCATAGGGAAGAGGGGGAGGAGGAGGACCAATGTCAGTGGGGAGGTCAAGAACTATCAGTACATTGAGTGCACTGATATACATGGTGTGGGACATGCTGCGATGATCAGATAGGTCAATGCCCAAGTTGATTAGAAGACGAGTAATGATAGATCCAAACGGCAACAACCCTTGGTAGTGGCACTTGCAATGATCCAGAGGTCAAGGGGAAGGACTCAATCGAGATTGAATGATCGAGGAAAGAAATCATGAGTGATGAAGTGATGGAAAATCCTCAATCGTGGTGGCAGCCAGCTAACAAGAATAGGCACATCAGAGCCACCTGTTGGTTCTATCGAGAAGTTCTCATACTCAGTGGGCATAATGAAGTCTTGCTTCCAGAATTCAGAGGGATGAGCAATGTCAAACCCTTGAGATGGAAAGCCAAGGATTCCATTGATGGCCCCTACTGGGATGGTCAAGAGATGACCATAAATAACGGTCGAGAAGCTTCTGGTGCTAACTCATTGACATCGAAGATTGGAGTAGAAGTACTTGATTTCACTAGGGCAAGCTGGATGGAGGGGTTGGCGAAGGAGGTAATCACATCCCAGTCCTTCTATAAGAGATATAATATAGAACTTATAGAGGTTAAAATCGTATGGATCGAGTTGAGTTATGTGATGCAACCTTCTGTTTTCAAAGTGCTGAAGGTGGCGATGGTGGTTTATTACCACAGGCTCATGGAAGATGTAGCCTGGATAGGTATGAACCAACCCATCAAAGCGAAAGGGTCGTGGCAAGTGGTCACCCATTTTGGATGGTTTGTTTTTCTTTTCTTGGAGGGTGATTTGTTTGTGGCTGCGAAGAGTGAGGCAAAGAGGAAAGGGGGCAGGTTTAAATAGATCAAGAGAGCGGAAGAAGAAGGGGATACAAAGAGTTTTTCGTATAAACCAAGTGTAATGATTAAACTAAAGCATGCATAGATTAATGTATAAAGTAGACATGCATGAGCCAAAAAGAGCTCTTGTCAAGTATATCAAGATAAGCGAGATACCTAGAGCATAAAACACCCAATGATTTTTTTTTTATCTTTTTAGATTCTTGATTTGGTTAAAGATTTTAACCCTAATTCAGTACAGAGTTGGACAAAATGCTCACTGGACAAGGATTTTGTGAATAGTTCAGCTAGTTGATACTCAGTGGATATAAATTGTAGGCACACGTGACCTGCTAGAACTAGATCTCTTATGAAATGGTATTTTATTTATATATGCTTAGTCCTAGAGTGTTGTACTGGTTTTTTGTCATACATATTACACTTGTATTGTCACACCATACAAGGATGTTTTGAAATTCAAATCCATAATCTGATAGTTGTGCTTTCATCCACATAATTTAAGCACAGCAGCTTCCTGCTGCGAGGTATTCAGCTTCAGCAGTGGATAAGGCAACTACTCCTTGTTTCTTGATGAACCAAGAGACGAGAGCAAGTCCTAGGAATTGAACACTTCCAGAAGTGCTTTTTCTATCAACTAGGCTTCCCCCAAAATCTGAGTCACTATAGCCAGAAAGTTCAAATGAGTCTGATGTTGGATACCATAATCCTACTTCGATGGTTCCCTTAAGATATCTAAATATTCGTTTTACAGCCTTAAGGTGACTCTCTTTAGGGTTGGATTGAAATCTTGCACACAGACCAACACTATATTGAATATCAGGTCGACTTGCTGTTAAGTACAAAAGTGATCCTATCATTCCTCTATATTTCTTTTCACAAACAGGCACACTAGCTTCATCCTTGTCTAGTTTCAAATTAGTAGCCATAGGTGTTGAACATGTGTTCACTGAGTTCATGTTGAATTTTCTTAGCATAGATTTGATATAGCTGGTCTGACTTATAAAGATGCCTAAGTTGGTTTGCTTAATTTGTAAGCCTAAGAAATGTGACAGTTCTCCCATCATGCTCATCTCAAATTCTGATTTCATTGATTCACAGAATTTTGTACACATAGATGGACTAGTTGACCAAAAAACAATGTCATCGACATATATTTGTACGACTATTGTATCTGAATTTTCTTTCTTGATGAATAGAGTTTTATCAATATTGCCTTGAGCAAATCCTTCAGATTTTAGAAAGGTGGTTAACTTTTCAAACCAAGCTCTAGGAGCTTGTTTTAAGCCATATAGTGCCTTTGAAAGTTTGTAAACATGATCAGGAAATTTGTGATCTATAAAACCAGGGGGCTGACGTACGTACACTTATTCTTTAATTTCACCATTTAAGAAAGCGCTTTTTATATCCATTTGAAATTAAGCAATCTTCATATAGCAAGCATAAGTACACAATAGCCTGATAGACTTCGAGCAACAGATGCGAAAGAGTCTTCAAAGTCTATTCCTTCTTCTTATAAGTATCCTTGTGAAACAAGTCTAGCTTTGTTCTTTGTTATTTCTCCATATTCGTTGGTTTTATTTCCGAAATCCCATTTTGTTCCTATAATTAACTTATTGAAAGGTCCAGATACCAATTCCCAAACATGCAGTCTAGCAAATTGTACAAGTTCATCTTGCATTGCACACAACCATTCATCATCAGTTAAAGCTTCTTTATAGTTCTTTGGTTTGAGGAGAGAGACAAAATCATACTGACCTGGGCAATACTTACCTCGTGTGTGGATTCCCTCATTCAGATCGCCAATGATTTGGGACGCAGGATGCCGTTTGTATATGAGTTGGTGCTGCTCTTTCTTCTGTTTGAGCGGTATGTTCAGCTGGAATGACCTCATCTTCCTTTAATTTGATTGGATCAGAACCCGATTCTTCCTCTTTCTCATTTGAAGAAGGAAATATGAACTCTATGTTTTCTGCATTTACTTTCTCAAAACAGGCAGATTCATCAAATTTCACAAATTCAGACTCTTCAACTCTTTTTGTCCTCAGATTATAGACTCTGTATGCTTGTCCTTTTATGGAATACCCAAGGAAAATTGCTTTATCAGGTTTAGCATGAAACTTATACGGATGATCCCTAGTGTTTAATATGTAACACTAGCATCCAAAGGGATCAAAGTAACCAAGGTTAGGAGTTTTTTGCTTTAGAATTTCATATGGGGTTTTGTCTAAGCTTTTTCTAATTAGCACACGATTTATTATATATACAGCAGTCCTGACAGCTTCTCCCCATAGAAACTTAGGTGTGCCATACTCCAACAGCATGGTCCTGGCAGTCTCAATTATAGTTCTATTTTTTTCTTTCTACCATACTATTCTGTTGTGGTGTTCTAGGTGCAGAGAAAGTATGATTTATCCCTTTATCATTACACAAGGCACTGATTGTTCTGATATGAACTCACCTCCATTGTCACTTCTTATTGATTTAATCCCATTTTCTGATTTATTAAGTATTTTTGACACAATGGTTTTCAGCATGGAAAATGCTTCATCTTTTGAAGCTAAAAGATACACCTAAACGTGAAAAATCATCAACAAGAACAAGAGCATAGGATTTACCTCCAAGGCTTACAACATTTGTTGGACCAAACAGATCCATGTGTATCAGTTCATACACCTGAGTAGTGGTTATATCCTTTTTCAACTTAAAACTTTTCTTGGTTAACTTATCACATGCACATGCATCACAGAAGAATTTAGAGTTTTCTTTTAAAATAAGAATACCACGGGTTGACTCCAATCTGGACAGTTTAGATAAGCATATATGTCCTAGCTTTCTATGCCAAAGTTATTCTAATTCATTTGATGCTGCATGAAAACATGTTTCATTGAAGGTTTCTAAGTTCTTCAGATTGACCACATACATGTTATTTTTATTTATACCGCTAAATAACAATTTGTTGTCACGAATCCTAGATATTTCACACGAAGAAGCTTCAAATATAACTCTGTTTTCAGAGCTACACAGTTGACTAATAGAGAGTAAGTTATGTTTTAGCCTTCAACAAACAATACATCTTTAATGACAGGAAGCAAACTCTTACCAATAGTCCATTCCCTAAGATTTTTCCTACTCTATCTTCTCCAAACACTACCTTACACCTCATTTTTTTGTATTTTAATGAAGAAAATAGATCTTTTCTACCTGTTATGTGGTGGGAGCACCCACTGTCTAGGTACCAAATGTTTTCCCTTTCTCCCAGATTCTGCAATCAGTCATAGGTTAGTACATTTTGGTACCCAAAATGTCTTGGATATAGCACCTTTTCTCAAGTTTTGTAAATCATAACAGAATTTTGCTAGGTGACCTTTTATTTTACAATAGGAACATAAATAAACTACATGGTAGTTTCTATCCTTTTTATGATGTTTTATTTTATGGCCAGCAGGAGATGTGAATTTCTTCCTATGGATGTTGTTGTATGAGGAGGTTATGTTCTTAGAATCAGGATTTTTGATGGTTACATGGTGTCTATTGTGAAGATCTTGTTTTAGATTATGGTTCTAATCCTTTAGTTCAAAGATGTGCTCTTTAAGTTTATTCTCACACTCATTTTGAACAGAGATGGTTCTCTTTAATACACTTAGTTCTTTAGTCATGGCATGATTTTCAGTCATAAGCAGACAATATCAACTTCTAAGTCTATTGCATTCTTCCTGTAGATTTTTTTAATGCGTGCAGAAAATCTGATTTTGATTCAGAATGCTTACATTTTTCAAAATCTGAGTCAGAGATTACCTGGTAGCTTGATGGAAGTGCTTGGTCACTTCTTATTAGAGAGGAGGATTCACTGTCATCCTTGGTGGCAAAGGCCATATAAGCTAAGTTCCTTGTTTCCACACCCTCCTTAGAGCTGTAATCACTCCAAGAAGTAGCCAGGGCCTTCTCTTGATTCTTTAAGTTCAAAGGGCATCTAGACCTCATGTGACCTGTCTTTCCACACTTAAAGCTGATTGTCAAATCCCTCTCACTGGAAGACCTGTGGTCTTCCTTAACTTCTCGTTTGAACCTTTCACGTTCTTCAGTTGGTTTCTCTACTCTTCTGTATGAGCTTTTATCATTTAGAGAATTATTTCCAACATTTCTATCAAGGTGTCGATTTAATGATTTCTCCTAAATTCATATGGACGATTAGTGGACTGTCTTGAATTGATATTACCTTTTCTATCTTCAAAATATCTTTTCATTTTTAACATTCTATAAAATTTCCTACTAATTAAGGCAAACTCTTTTTCAAACTCCTCACCTATTCAGAATCACTTTCATAGTCTTGTGCTTTAAAAGCTATGACTTTCTTTCGTCTGTTATCCTCCTTGTTCATCTGAACAACCACTTCCTCGTGACTAAGTAGAGATCCGACTAGCCTTTAAATTGATAAGACATTCAGATCTTTTGCTTCTTCTATGGCAGTTCTCTTAGGCAGCTATTCTCTAGGAAGACTTTGTAAGATTTTTCTAACAAGATCCTTAGTGGCAAAAGTCTTTTCTAAACCTTTTAGTCCGATTATCAAATCATTGAATCTCTTATACATGCTAGTGATAGATTCTCCAGAGCTCATTTCAAATGATTCATATTCGTTAAGAAGAACATCTATCCTACTTTCTTTCACTTCTAACGTACCTTCGTGGGTAGTTTCAAGAGACTCCCATATTTCTTTGGCTGTCTCACACTGTGCTACTTGGATTCTCTCTTCAAGACTGAGGGCTGAGAATAGGATGTACATTTCCCTTGAATCTTGCTGAGAAGACAACTTCTGATCATTTTCCCATTTCTCTTCTTCCTCATCATCCATAGGAATTGGCCTGTTTCTGACAATAGCCCATAACCCACTATCGACACCTCAAAGATAAATTCTCATTCTCTATTAGAGGGGAGGCTAGCTTTGTGAAACACGATGATATGATCTTTTGGTGAAGACTTTGAAGGACGATTTCCTTAAATGGCGCCATTGAAACTGGTTGGACGATTTCCTTAAACAGACTATGTCGTGCAGCGTCTTAGTTGGAACGTTGTCGTTCTGTTTGCTTGGTTGAGACGACATCTTTCTGTCTACGAATGGGGCTGGTGACAATCGTCCTTTCAACTTATGGGAATTCGAGATCTGAGTAGCCATGGGCGATAGGAGATAACGTCGATGTTAGTGTTGGATTGCATCTTTCAACTTACGGAATTGATAATGGAGTCTGCCTTCGCAAGGAGCAAGAAAAGAAAGGAGCGAGAAAGAGGAAGGTAAGAGTCGATGTTGCTTTTCCTTTACTTTTTAATTTTTTTATTAATTTATTAGCTAATTATCAGACCCACTCCAAAAATCGTAACCATTCAAAACCACTGCTATGCTATTTGAACCTGTCAGAAAAAATGACAGTACTGTGCAGTTACTGTACTACAGAATTCCCTCTATTTTAATATATAAAAGCCAAGGTTGTAGGTTACTACTTATTAGTGGCTCTTACACTTCTCCAAGTTCAAATGGGGAAGTTCCAAATCATTCTTTTACCTCACTCTCTATTCTACAACCATTGTGTTTAGCTATCGTTTGCTTGGTTTATATTTATTGTCCATTGTGTTTCCCATAACATTATATTACTATATAAATCCAAGGTTGTAGGTTACTATTCATTAGTGGCTCTCACACTCCTCCAAGTGCAAGTGTGGAAGTTTCAAATCATTTTTTTACCCCACTCTCCATTCTACAACCATTGTGTTTTTCTATTGTTCGCTAGGTTTATATCTATTGTCCATTGTGTTTCTCATAACAATTATTGCCTACTAGCTTTTCAACTTAGGTTTATATCTATAGCTATTGCATCAACTATCCACTAGGTTTTCGTCTATGGCTTTTTGCACAAATCATCGTCTTTTCCCACCATTTGGCAACCCATCTCAAAATACTATCGGCAGAATCCTAAGTTGTTCCACACCACCGTTTCCCAAGGCTGCTACCACGAGTTTTGTATCGGGACCGAGTTTCATCCTCTTCAGTGTTTTTTTCATTCTTTTTCCCTTTTTGTTGAGCATATCACAATGGAACTCAAACACATGGGTATCCTAACTTGAACCCAAATCATTGCCTTTTCACACCATTTTGGAACCCAACTCGAAACACTTTCGGTGGAATCCTGAGTTGTCCTCTTCCACCGTTTGCCATGGCCGCGACCAAAGATCCATAATAGATATGCTCTATACAATCCTCAACATCGCTTACCAATTCACAACCTTCTCAAAACACTATGAATGGAATCCTAAGTTGTCTCCCTCCACCATTTTCCAATGTCGCTACCCAAAATCCATGCTAGATTTACTCAATGTTGGCGAGTTTTTGTATTGAGACCGAGTTTCATCCGTTTTAGTGTTTTTTTTGTTTCATTTTTGTCCTTTTTTCGAGCATGATCACAATTGAACCCAAATCAATGGGCATCCAACCTAATTTGATCCAGCCAAAGCAACTTGGAACCGACTTTAGTATTTATAAATTTATCTTTTTTTCTTTTGATTAGGAAGGCAATTGAACTCGAATCTAAGGTATTGATGAGTGTTGTATCGTGAGCGAGCTTTATCTGCTTTTGTAGTTGGCAGGTTGGACCAAGTGTTAATTTGTTCAAATTTTAGTCCAAGCGAGTTGAATACGTTGTTGACCAGTTTTAGATAGAAAGCGAGTTTTGGACGGTTTAATATTTTTTTAATTTCTCATTTTACTTTTCGTTAAGAATGACAATTGAACTCTGACCCATTGTTGATGCGTTTCGTATCGAGAGCGAGTTTTATCCGCTTTTGTAATTGACAGGTTGGGTAAATTGTGAATTTGTTAAAACTGGGTCGACCCGATCAAAGCTAGTTGAAAGCAGTGTTGAGAGTTTGGGTTCGTGAGCGAGTTTTATCCTCTTTAGTATATTTTATCTTTTTTTCCTTTTGGTTGAGAATAACAATTGCGTCCAAACGCATGAGTATCAAACCTAATACGACCCGACCAAAGTGACTTTAACTCGGTTTTACAGGTTTTTGGCGGGAGCGAGTTTTATCTGTTTTTGTAATTGGCGGGTTGTGTCAGGTGTGAATTTGCCCAAAACTCGGTTCAACTAGGTCAAAGCGAGTTGAAACTCGTGTTGACGAGTTTTGGGTCGGTAGTGAGTTTAAGCTTTAGTGTGTTTCATTTCGCTTTTACCTTTTGTTTGAGCAAGACAGTTGAACCCAAATCCATGGGTATCCAACCTAATTTGACCCGATCAATGCGAGCCGAACCTCCTCAAACCAGCTATCAGTTCAAAAAATTCATAAAGGAGAACCACGATTACCTCAACCCAAAAATAAAAAGGCAAAAGAGTAAAACTATGTTTGGCGAGAATTTTAGAAGTTTTATGTTTCAAAAGTTGAAGTCAAGCCAAACACCTCTAAAGTTCCGCTTTTTATAAAGCTGAAGATTTTCATAACTTAAAATCAGAAGCTTTAATTTGAAAATACAAAATTGTCATTACTATATATTATTTTTTCTAGAAAAAGTAATTTTCTTTCATTTATATCATTATAAAAAATAAATTAAATTTTTTTATTATTTAATATAAAATAAATCTAACGTGATTCATTTAAAATATTATTTTATTTTTAGAATTTGTATACATATTTTATATTAGAAATCTTTTTAGTAATTTTACATTACCTAATTATGATAGTTTTTGAGCTAAACACTCAACTGTTTTTTTTTTAATTTTCAAAAAGATCCAGAGAAGCTGCTTCATTCTACTAAAGTTACAACGGGATCAACTACTAGCCATACAAATTGAAACAATAGCGTCATGAAAGAAGTTTAAACATAAATAATCTATTCGACGACTATTCTACCTTATGCAAGTTAATCGACCACATGCTATTGTATATAAGAAACCTATGAAAAAAATATTAAAAATGAAATAAGATTACTTTCTTTTCTGGTCAACATTAAAACTATTACTCTTTAAAATATTTATTTTTCTGATACGCGAAGCGATCGCGAGCGGGCTTTTGTTGGTATTATATATTCAATCACAACCTTTCATTCTTAACAACTACATATATTATGACGTTGGAGAAATTAAAACCAACCCCAAGCCTCCGGCTATAAATAACAATAACCGAAAGGACTTCGTTTCTCATCATATTGATACAAGCCTGAATTCACTATTAATTCATTCAGGATTGATTGTTGAAGAATTGAGGCTAAACCGTAAAATTTTTCTAAGTGTTTTTGACGATTTCAGGTACCAACTTTGGACGTGTGCAACTTCTTATTGGGTTGTGAAAATTGGACTTCAAAAGCTTGTTTTGAAGAGAACGAGTTGCTATTTCCATTGGCGTGTTTTGGAGCTCAAGTGGAAGTCTAGAAGGTTGCTTTTCAGGTCGATCAAGTTGCTCTCTCAACATGAGAAAAACTTCCAAAATTGTTTAAGTGTGGAATCGAATTCGGGAATGTAACTTCGAGCTTCAATTCGTCGAGTTTGGAGAAGAGTCGAGTTGAGAGGCTGATACCACACAAAAGCCTGCATCTTCTACTACAAAGGTGTGGCGTGGGATGATTGGAATGAGGATTTCAAGGCTTCTAACAATAGGGATAAAAAATCGTATGAAGCCTGCCTGGGAATCAAGGAATCTTAATCCTGTTCGCATTAGGATTAGTTTGTTGTTTTGTTTATTTTCCTTTTCAATGTTGATTTTGGATTCTATTTTGTTTTAGATTGTAACTAGGACTTTGTTGGATGAGGGTTAACTTAGCTAGGCCTATTTAAACTCCTTATTTCATTGTAATCGTTAGTTTTTGTTTTAATCGAATACAAACATAGAGTTGGTTCATAAGCGTTGCCTTGTGAATTGCGGGAACAATCTAGTGGATTTCTAGGTTATTTTGAGCTTGTATCGTTCAGCAAACCACTCTGAACGTGGCCAAGCATCTACCCCTACAATCAAGCCTCTTTCCCATAGAGAAAGTTGCACAAAAGGTTCCATCTCGAGACACCCAAAACCTGCCCTGTTTTTTGTGTGTTTTTAACTGATTTCAATTCCAACCATGGAATTGGATTCTTTGCTGCAAACTCTGACCCAAACAACCCTTGCATCAAGTGGTATCAGAGCCCCGTTCTAATAAGTGGACAGGAGAAGAAGCGTACAAACTTTCTGCAAGCTCTGACAATGCCAGAAGAGTTAGGGCAAGGTAATATGTTCTATACTCGTTGTTTGGTTCAAGTGAAATTGTGTTATATGATTGTTGGTGGAGAGATCAAATCCAATTTGATCAGTTCACGGGAAGTAGCTAAGTTGGGGCTAACTACACAACAACATCCTAGCCCTTTCTTATTGCGATTGTCAATAGAGGATGCCTTTGTGTATGTGATTGAACAAGTAATCTTGACGATCAAAATCGGGTCTTATGAAGATCAGTTTTTTTATGTTATGCCTATGAAAGCTTACTCATGAGGTACTTGGTCAACCAGGCACAATGATCACCAAGCACGACACAGCAGCCGCACCAAGAAAATCATCTTAAGGCATCAAGAAGAGAAACTTGCCTTAAAGCCATTATCTTTGGAAGAGGTTGCTGAAGAAAGGACGCAACTACAACAAGCTTATGAGGAGGATCGGAAGGTCGAAGAAGCAAGAACACCTCCAGATCAGAAGGAAATCATATAGGTTACAGTAGAGGAAAGTGGTGAAACTGAAGTGGTTGAGTTGGAAGGAATTGAAGCAAGCTATCATGATCCTTTTTATTTTGATTCTGATCAAAACTTGAGATGTATGAGTCTTCAAGCTTTGAGGGCAAAGCTTTTATAAGAAGGGGAGCCTGATACAATCTCGAATCCACTCTTAAATCAATCAGGATTGATCGTTGGAGAATTGAGGCTAAACCATAAAATATGTCAAGTGTTTTTGACGATTTCAGGTACCAAGTTTGAATGTGTGCACTTCTTATTGGGTTGGTGAAAATTGGACTTCAAAGGCTTGTTTTGAAGAGCACGAGTTGATATTTCCATTGGAGTGTTTTGGAGCTGAAGAGGAAGTCTAGAAGGTTGCTTTTCAGGTCGATCAAGTTGCTCGCTCAACATGGGAAAAGCTGCCAAAATTGTTTTAAGTGTGGAATAGAGTTCGGGAAGGTAACTTTGAGCTTCAATTCGTCGAGTTTGGAGAATAGTCGAGTTGAGAGGCTAATACCACACGTAAGTCTGCATCTTCTACCACAAAGGCGTGGCGTGGGATGATTGGAATGAGGATTGCAAGGCTTCGAACAAGTAGGACAAAAAATCATATGAAGCCTGCCTAGGAATCAAGGAATCCGAATCTTGTTCGGATTAGGATTAGTTCGCAGTTTTGTTTATTTTCCTTTTCAATGTTGATTTAGGATTATGTTTCATTTTAGATTGTAACTAGGACTTGTTAGGACGAGGGTTAACCTAGCTAGGCCTATTTAAACTCCTTATTTTGTTGTAATCGTTAGTTTTTGTTTTAATCGAATACAAACATAGAGTTTGGTTCATAAGCATTGCCTTGTGAATTGAGGGAACAATCTAGTGGATTCTAGGTTTTTTTGAGCTTGTATCGTTCAACAAACAACCCTGAACGTGGCCAAGCATCTACCCCTACCAATCGAGCCTCTTTCCCATAGAGAAAGTTGCACGAAGCGTTTCATCTTGAGCACCCAAAACCTGCCATGTTTTTGGTGTGTTTTTGACCGAGTTCAATTCCAACCTTGGAATTAGATTCTTTGCTGCAAACTCTGACCCAAACAACCCTCTAGGGTTGCATCACATATGCTATAGAGTAACCCAATTCCAAAAGACCATACCCAAATAATTGAAACAAATGTCCCCATCTTCAACCTTTGTTTTCAAGGTCCACAGGCGCGAACCAGAGCTAGTCTGACCAACCAAACCGACTCCATATGAGGTCAAGCTCCTCCCCAACATTGACGCCCAGCAAGGGCTTCGATTCCACATCCCTATGATTCAGATATACAAGCACGCGCTTTCCATGCGTGGGAAGGACCTCATGGCAGTCATCCAACGTTCGTTGGCAGATACCCTTGTGCCTTACTATCCCTTCACTGGTACAACTTCTTATTCCACCGAGAGTGTTCGGAGAAGGATTGTGCATTATTGGGCGAATGCGAGGATTGTGCCTAATAGATATGGTATGGATCTTTGGTAGGAGTTGTAGCAGACGGTGGAAGAGGACAACTTATGTTCTCGTCGATAATATTTCGAGATGGGCTGCAAATTGGTGGTCCAAAGCGATGATTTGGACAAACGATCATAGACAAAAACCTAATGAACAAAAGATGAAAACTTATTAGTCAATGGGCAATATATGTAGACCCGATGGACAATAGATGAACACATAGGTTACAGAATAAGAGAGGGGTAAAAGAAGGGCGTGAAACTTCCCCACTTGCACTTGGAGGAGTTTGGGATCCAGTAATGAATAGTAACTCCAATGTTAGGATTTTATATATTAATCAATTAGTTAATTAATATATTAATGGGCCAAGGCGATAATTTGGGCAAAAGATCATAGAAGAAAACCTAATGAACAATAGATGAAAACTTATTAGAAATGGGCAATAGATGTAGATCCGACGGAAAATAGATGAACACATAGATTATAGAATAAGAGAGTGAGGTAAAAGGACTTGAAACTTCCCCACCTGCGCTTGGAGGATTTTGGAAGCCACTAATTAATAGTAACTCCAATGTTAGGCTTTTATATATTAAATTAAACTAGTTAAAAGATCATAGACGAAAACCTAATGAACAATAGATGAAAACTTATTAGACAATGGGCAATAGATGTAGACCCGACGAACAATAGATGAACACATATGTTATAGAATAAGAGAGTGGGGTAGAAGAAGGACTTGAAACTTTCCCACTTGCACTCGGAGGAGTTTGGTAGCCACTAATGAATAGTAACTACAATGTTAGCCTTTTATATATTAATTAATTAATATATTAATTGGCCAAGGCGATGATGTGGGCAAAGAATCATAGACGAAAACCTAATAAACAATAGATGAAAACTTATTAAAATGAGCAATAGATGTAGACCTGACGGACAATAGATGAACACATAGGTTATAGAATAAGAGAGGGGTAAAAGAAGGATTTGAAACTTCCCCACTTGCACTTGGAGGTGTTTGGGAGCCACTAATGAATAGTAACTCCAATGTTAGGCTTTTATATATTATTAAATTAAATATTAGGGTAATGTCTATTTTTTATCCAAGAATTTTTCATACTCTTTTACATTATCCAAACCTATTAAAATTATATTAGTTATCCGAATCATTCATACTGCATCAAAATATTAGCCATTTTTTGTTATCTTTAATAATTTTGTAACTCTTTTTATAGTTAAGAAACTAAAATTTTGGAATTTCGACCTTCATGAGTCTCTTTCAAGTCAGTATCATGTTGCTAAGTCAATATCACTAACAAAATTGATAACTCGAAGTTAACATTTGGCTAATTCTTAGTATTTCCATAGGTTTGGATAATATAAAAGAATCTGAAAGGTTTGGAGAAAAAAAAGACATTTCCCTAAATATTAAATATTCATTAATGTTAGACTTTTATGATTTGGTCAATAGATCTTAGATGAAAACTTATTAGAAAATGGGCACTAGATGTAGACCCGACAGACAATAGATAAACACATAGGTTATAGAATAAGAGAGTGGGGTAAAAGAAGGAATTGAAACTTCTTCCCTTGCACTTGGAGGAATTTGGTAGCAACTAATGAATAGTAACTCCAATGTTAAGCTTTTATATAGTATATATATTGGATAATATAGAAGAATCTGAAAGGTTTGGAGAAAAAATAGACATTTCCCTAAATATTAAATATATATTAAATATTCATTAATGTTAGACTTTTATGATTTGGTCATAAGAACTTAGACGAAAACCAAATGAACAATAGATGAAAACTTATTAGACAATGGGCATTAGTTATAGACCCGAAATACAATAGATAAACACATAGATTATAGAATAAGAGACTGGGGTAAAAGAAGGAATTGAACTTCTTCACTTGCACTTGGAGAAATTTGGTAGCCACTAATGAATAGTAACTCCAATGTTAGGCTTTTATATTGTAAATTAATATATTAATGGGCCAAGGCGATGATGTGGGCAAAAGATTATAGATGAAAACCTAATAAACAATAGATGAAAACTTATTAAAAATTGGCAATAGAAGTAGACCCGATGGACAATAGATGAACACATACGTTATAGAATTAGAGAGTGAGGTAAAAGAAATACTTGAAACTTCCCCACTTGCACTTGGAGGAGTTTGAGAGCCACTAATGAATAGTAAATCTAATGTTAGGATGTTATATATTAAATTTTAAATATATATTAAATATTAATTAATGCTAGGATTTTATATTAATTTATGAATTTACTTTAAATTTATTGTCACGACTTCTTATATTTGTCCATATAGCTATTTATGTTTTTCTTCAATACTTATATTCTTTGATTCTCTTGATTTGATACAATAGGTGACGCGCCTCAAATATGACAACTTCATCTTCGCCCTCCTCCTTTCCCATTGCATGCGTGATGCTCCGAGTTTGGTCCAGTTCATGTCCGCCATTAGTGAAATCGCTCAAGGATCCCACTGCCCCTTTATCCCTCCGATGTGGGAAAGACATTTTCTTAGTGCACGCTCGTCTCCATGCCTGACACAAACCCATCGTGAGTACTTACAACAAGCCACCGCCGATAACAGCAACACATTGACGACAATGCCCCTGAATTTTGACAACATGACGCAAAAATCCTTCTTCTTCGTTCGTTCCCAATTATTCGCTCTTCGCCGCTATGCTCCTCCGCACCTTGGGCAATCTTACTCCCAATTCGAGATCTTGGCATCATGCCTCTGGAAAGACCGAACAGTCGCCCTTCGGCCTGAACCCCAGGAAAATATAAGGGTGATCTGTCTTGTCAGCATGTGAGGAAAATTCTCTGATCCGCCATTGCCCATAGGTTACTATGGCAACACCTTCGCCTTTGTGGTGGCTGATCGTGCTCCGGTGCGCGGTCGAGGTTTAAATTTATAAAGTCAAAGCAACTCTCTAATCAATCCTAACTAAGCCAAGTATAACCTAGCTACCGTTGTAGTAAAGTGGCTCGGTCGTATTTCAAGGGATCCCTAAGTGTATTATTAGTTTGCTATGAACTACTATCTAATCGGGATGGAAGTTTGGTGAGGGTTTCAGCTAAATTAATCTACTCCTAAGGAAAAATAAACAACCAACCAAGTGGTTGGGAGAACGCTAGAGATGAGATGGATGCCTAGGGTTGAATCCTCCTAGCTAAGGCTGTAGGGTCAATCGAATGTGGTGAGTGAGCTCTTTTTCGTGGACTTTCATGGTTATCTGCACGCCTCCCCTAAACCCATGTTCCAGTCACCTCAATCTAGGCTATCTAATCTGGGGCATTAAGCTTATGACTCATTTCAATGGACACTATCCACCGTCCACACCGAGGTTTCATCCCGGGTTTCATCTAGGAAGGCTACCTATAGCAGGGGTTCGGTCGCCTCGACCACTATAGGCCCCCATTCACACATTTAACCCAAACTCGCTAGAAGGCGCATACCCGTATAACCTTAGAACTCCATACCCAGCGTGATAGCATAAAGTAGGCTAAGAGGGAAGATTAGGGCGACTTACCCAAGTGTCATCATTTATGAAAGAGTACCAACTAGACAAACACATTCATTCATAACCTAAACATTCTCAACCTATAATTAGGGTCCATCTACACCAAACAATCACTAGAGATTCAAGTCATTAGAGAGAAGAAGAAAATACAAACTATAAGGGGGGAATGATGAAATCAAGCTTCTTCTCCTTGCTCCTTGGGTTGAATGAATATTCAATGAAACCCATGGTGTTTCTCTCTCTAAAGCAGTCCAAAACCCTAATTTTCTCATGTTTTGCAAATACGAACAAAAATGGGCATGAGTAACTTGATATGTGGCCTAGACACGATGATTTAGCATGCAAATTCCTTGAGAATAGAGGCTATATAACATCTATTTTAGTTGTTATCAGTGGCAATGGCACAGGCTGGCGAGCTATGCCCAAACCCATTAGATCTTGTGAGTAAGGCCAAAGGTGAGGTAACAGAGGAGTACATAAGTCAGTTGCTAATCTAATGGCGTTGAAAGGACGACTTGATTTCTTGAAGACAAGGTGGACGTACCTTGTGTCGGATGTGACTAGGTCCGGGTTTGAGACTATGGATTTTGGTTGGCCAGGTTGACCCAGATGTCGGGCCAGTACCTAGATTAGCAAACTTTTGCATACCATGTAAGAACGAGGAAGGGGAGGATGGGATTGTTTTGGCAATTAGCTTGCCGGCGCAGGCAAATGAGAGGTTTTTGAAAGAGCTCGAAAGCATGTTGGAATCACCACCTGTTGGAGTGGAGGCCAAAATATTTACTCATGTTATGTCAGCTTTATAAATTATATTGGGTTTGTCATATATAAGATTGGTTACATGAAGAATTTCCTTGAATTAACATGTTTTCTGGGGTAAGTATAATATCCTAATGAATACTGGTACACTTTATTTGTCAAAAAGTAATCGGTGTCAATAATTCGAATTGTTTGAGAGAGGTTCAATTATGCATTATATACAGTATAGCAGGAAGCAAGGTCATATCCATAGAGACTATATGTCCTAGTACTAAGTTCTTACCTATTATGTAGTCAATCGTACGTTTTTAGTGATTTTGTTTATATATAAAAGTACATGCAATATAAAAACACAATGGAAGAGTTTTCAAAATAAAATCAAGTGGAGAAGGCGTTGTCCCCGAAGTGAATCCACCTAATATGCATTTTATAGACGAGTTGAATTTAATATAGACGAGTGTTCTTATCTTATACCGTAAAAGTTCACAATTTAGTGTTAACCTGTTCGCAGATGTATTAACAAGACTCAACTATTAAACAGACTTGTGAATTTCCATATTAGGTTTTTAAGCTAATCTAGAGTAATGATGTGACCCCATCGCCGGTGGCTCCGATCAATTCCTTGTTTTCACGAGAGATCTAACATGCAAAATTACCTCGCAGTCTCATTCACATGTATCAGACAAAATATACAATAGACGCGTATTATTGATACTGCACATGATAAGTTGAGAAAAGATCGAAAGAATGAGAATAATACTTCTACATCAAAGGTACCACTCAATCCACATAAAACATATTAGGGTTCATCAAATCCGGAACAACTAAGAGATTAGTCATACATGATGAGATTTACTAAGATGAAGGTTGAAAACATTACCAAGATGATGACGACGATGAAGATGCAGGTGTTGAGAATACAGTATATACATTGAATTAATAGATTACACCTAGAAAACTTCCGACAAGGGAATAATCGTTGGGCGAAGACGGTTGAAACCTACCAATCTACCACCACAAATGATTATCGAAACCCCACAGAACAGAAGCTTACTTCGGTAATCTTAATAACGCAATATACCACGGTATTCCCAAATACAAACATGAAAATGAGAACCACGATGAATGAAATACGAGATATAATTAACAAAATGAAAACACTAACAAGTGTTTGGAATGTAAATGGACAGAGTTTTGGCTAACTTTAAACAAATGAAACAAAGAAGGACTAAACTCAAAGTAGGGGTGTGTGGTGTTTTCTTCAATTTATAGGCAGCGGTAGCTCAAACACGGTCAGGGAACACAACCATGTTCATTCTGGGTCGAACAATCCATGTGGCTAGCGTTGCCAAAATTGATTGGCGCTCTCTTTACTCAACGTGGTCGGGGAACACGGCCGTGTTCCGGGACGTGGTTGCTAGTGGTTGCATAATTTTGTAGGTTGCTCGCTCGAATCGAGCTGTATATGGTCGACTCGACCATGACACGACCGTGTTCTTTGATCGTGCCAGCCCTATCAACCGGCAATGTCGAAAATGCTGGTTTCCAAGTGATATGAATGTGTGACATGGTCTGGTGATGAACACAGCCATGAACACAATCGTGTTGAACACACATGTTGGATAATAACATTCTGTTAACGTGGCTGTATTTGGAGACGTATGATAGTGAACATGACCCAGGGACACGAGCGTGTTCACCTCACTGACTGCTAATAACTTGGTCTTAACATGGTTGTGTTGTAAAATTTATTTGATGTCGGCGTGGTCTTTGAACATGGTAATGTTGTTGACCACGTTGGTCCTTTTGACAGCTTTTCCTTCAGTTACCGGCGGTAGTCTGACTCTGCAGTTTGTGGTTTGATCTGCATTGTCACTTGACTCATCACCCTAATATTCGGCGGGTTTAGTATGTTGACACCAAATGGGATGTGCCCGAAGTGGTACGGCTCTTTGCCCTCGCCTAGAAAGTTGCGGGCTCTAGTTCCACCGACGCCAGATTTCAAACCTTAACCATTTTTTTGCTTTCTTCCTCTATGTTACTTGAACTTAGTACAATTTAGGTCATTTTAGAATATAAATGTGTTGGTGAAACATGTATATTTTAGGTGTCATCAAATTCACCCACACTAAATCCTTTGATTGCCCTCAAGCAAAACACAAAAATTTTAAGTTCAATCAAAACCAATTTCACACAAAAATCCAACTGAAAGTTAGGAAAAAGGTGAATCTCATATGAATGCTAAAGATCAGGGGCGTAGCTACAGCTAGTCTTGCCCCCTCCCCCCCTCCCCCCGAGAATCTCAAACGTCATGTGTAAACTCGACGTGCTTCTTGAAACTTTCGTATAAAGTAAAGTTAAAACTAGATTAGTTGTTAGTGTGAATCAAAATAACAAGAAATTAGGTGTAGTGTTGCGGATATGAAGGTTTCCACTAACCCATACGTCAGGGCGTTTAATACTATACTTTTTTAAAAGTCCTTTAGTTCCAGATTTCATTAGCTAACTATAATTTTTCAAAGTCCTTTAGTTTTAGATTTCATACTTGTATATTTTTTTAACTAGAATATTTTAACGTATTATTTTTGAAAATATGATGGTTATCCCATATTTAAACGCATTATTATTTTTCTTCTTTTCTAATTTATATTGAACCTATCATAGCAAAATTTGTTAGTTTAGATCTTGTTTTGAGCGACGTTAATCATCTTTAAAAGTATAGTTATCATAATCATTCAAATAGTTTTTTTAATTAAGTCGAACTTTTTTTTGCATGTAATGGACTAATTAATTTCGCCCCCACCCCAAAAAAAAACCAAATCCTGACTTTGCCCTTGCTAAAGATGATGCAATAGGTAGCGTGATATGGATGCTTTCAACCACCACAAATGACATTTGATCATAAGTAGTCATGTGACATGGGAAACTTTGACTCGGATTTATAAGAACATTCTGCAATCTTCATTAGTCATTCAGCACAATCGATTGTTAAAGCATAGGTTTCACAAAACATAGCATGAGAGATCGAGCAAATAGATCTTACTTGGGATTTTAGAACTTGGAAAGTCTCTCTTACTCAACCAGTGGGGTCAGGGTAAATGTCACTCTTTCCCTGTCATCTCTCTGCCATGAACTTGTTGTTCAAGTCTCCAAAGTTGTGTCACCACTGACTTGTCAAGTAGGTCTTTGATCGGGTGTCAAATGTTGGTCATACTGCTCCTGTTGTTGACGGAGTATTTGGTTGTTCTACCTCAGGATCTCTAGTTGTTGCTGAAATATCCGCTGGTTCAGCTGGTAAATCTCGGTAATGGTCGGGTGGACTCCGACTCCTGATGTGCCCTCTGTTGTTTTCCCGGTACTGATACCATCTCTGTTCCCGATTACCTCAGGTGCGGTCAGTGGAGGACCCTCTGGCTCATCAACAGCTACATAGATCTTGTTTCTCATGAGGACCAATGCCATGGATGTGAGTGTGCGCATCACGAGTGGTCGTGGGTTAATGATTCGGCATAGATCTGGAGGTGGAAGTGGGAAGCCCAGATTCCTTGCCAAGTGGGTTATGTACATGCCGTCATGGAGTGTGCTTAACCTCTTATTGGAGTGTGGTTAATGATTCGGAATGGATCCGGAGGTGGAAGTGGGAAGCCCATATTCCTTTCCAAGTGGGTTATGTACATGCCTTCATGGAGTGTGCTTAACCTCTTATTGGTTGGCTCATAGAGGAACCAAGCCAAAGACCATCCGAGGTGGATTGGGCACCGATTCAACATGGAGTCGAGGTAGAAAATGTTTCGTAGAGTGACAACTCTATGGGATTTTCCTCGATCACAAAAAGAATAAGCCAAGATGTGGTGGATGTACCTGAGGTGGAATGCCATATCTCTTGCCTTGCTCATCGTCGCATTATAAGGGTCTACATCAGAAGGCACGATCTCCTCCCAAATGACAGAAACACCGATATCCACCTTCGGATCCTCCAATGGGAGCATTTTGTATAGCACTATGGTGACGTAGTCATTGCTGTACAGACCGGCATGAAGGCTGAACTCATTGAGGCTGAGAGAGTAGGACTCGTTCATGAATCTGAACGTGATGGTATCCGGTGCATCTGATAACACTGAATGTGAAAATGCTGATACCCCTCATTTCTTGATTGTTTAGCTAGGTATTTATCACACTCTAGCCAATTTTACGCTAGGTTGTGTTCCTTTGTCATATTTCAGGTCCTAGCATGTAAAGTGGAGCATATGCGCAAGTTTCAAGTCAATTGAAGATCAATTGGCGACTCGGGGGAAGAAACTCGGACATTACCAAAAGAAGAATTGATTTACACCTTATTTAATGGAAACATAATCATGTAATATATGCATGGAAAGAAAGAGGACAAGAATACGAGCATCTGGGATCAAACGGCGACTGATTCAGAGTTCGGATAAGGGAGAAATGAAGAAAAGACAGTAGCCTTTCCAAAGTTACGGGCTGACCTTCAAAGTTAACTTTTCCATTTTGGCCCTAACTTTGGCCCTGGGAAGCAGAACACATTGCAAAGTTACGAGTTGCCTTCAAAGTTACGGGTTGGCCTTAACTTTGCCTCTAGAAGCAGTATAAATGTGTTTTTGGCGGATTTTGAAGGGGGGGAGCTGGGTTTTGATTCCCAAACACTCAAGGGATAAAACCCTAGAGAGAGAGAGCACCTTTGGATCATTCTTGGAACTATTTTGGAGGATTTGTTCACCATTGGAGCTCGGGAATCAAACTTGGAGATGGAGATTGCATATCTAGATAAGATTTATGCATTCTCTCTCTTCTCTATAGATTAACTTCCCTTCACTTAGGTTTTGAGGAAACCTAGATTTGTATGCTAGGAAGAGTTGTATGAACTTGAATTCATGATCGATTGACGTTTTATATTCTTTTTTATTCAGAATTGCATGAGTCATGAACAAACTCATGCAGTTCATGCTTAAACCTAGAACGATAGTCTCTGCATAGGTTAATAGAGAAACTTGAATTGGAAGTAGTGAATTGATTGCTTTAGTCGAGAAGTCTATTCACTGCTCTGTACTAGAATTGAAAAACCAGTAGAGGGAGTTGGTTGTGTTATTGCCTTGGTTAGTTTACAGCGATGGAGGTTAGTCTCCTGCCAGGTATTC